GTGCGTACTATTTAGGATTTTACTGATCTGGCTGGATAGCTTTGATTAAAAGTAAAATTCTCATTACGATGGGAATGTCCTGGCCAGTCAGTTCTGACAAATGGAAAGCGCCCTCAAGCTCTCTGATCTCGTGCATGCTGGTGCTGGTACAGCTAAAATATCGGCCATCTCTTTTCCTCTACCGATCTTACAAAATGAGACCATTTAAGTTTGTGATTCGTGGCTGCAACCATACTCCGTCCTCGCAACAGCTTTTTGGGAACGTCACGCGAACGAAACTTTCGTTGTCCTTTATCCTAATGGCAATCGCTGCCGCGCGTGACGTGCGCGGAGCTTTTTGATAAACATGCAACGAAGAAAAGGATGAAATATAAGTAACCAACGTGAATAACTGGCTCATAAAGGCGGCTCGGTTTTTAGCCCAGTTTGTGAGCGTCGGTATGTCAAGCGGGAGGTTGCGGGTTGAAAAAAGCTAGCAAGATCATGCTGGTTATGATCTAAGATTTTTGTTTCCAAGTTCTGATGATCGGGTCATGAGGCAGTGATCCTTCCAAATCAATTAGAAGGGGACGCAAAAGGTCTCGCACGGCTGTACGAAAAGAGTAGGGGACGCAAACCCGGAGGGTTTTCTCTTGTAGGCTGAAGGGGAGGGGCAGTAACGCGCCCGCAGTAATTGGCGTCACACGGTTGCGGTTACCCTGCCAAGAATTGGCAAATAAAGTAAACAAAACATTTGGCGGAATCAGCTGTGATTCGCACTGGAAGTGTTGCCGAAATACTATTGTATGATTATAGTCATAAAAGTATTTTTATATTTTTTCATTATATCTTATTATTTTTCTCTGATTATCTTAACCTCTCCATTTCTCCTTAGGATCGAATATTTAACAATCATTACAAGCGCAGCAGCCCCTCGGAACGTGTCAAATATGGCGTGCTAAACATAGGTACCAACGTGCGTGCTCCTTTTAACTCACGGACGGAAATCCATGCTATATGTTATTTTAATATCTTAGTTCTCATTTTTCTTCTTACACCCTTTTCTCTTCCCCTTCTATCTCACACGTCAAAACGATTGACAGCAGCAATAAACGTCCAATGACGATACGTCTTATTTAATTTGCGCAGTCTTGCTTTTTTTTCATTGACTTTCAGTTTTTCGTTGTTTATGTTCAGTTTGCAATTTGTTTACTCGCCTCGTCGTTCCAGGCCTAAAGGAAAGAAATAGCATTATTTTCAAAAATTGTTCTTTTAAAACTCTTCTTTGTTACTCATGAAAGTTTAACTGTCTAGTCGGATCGATGTAGCTTTGACTTTACTGTAACACATGCAGCGCCCGAGGGAGGTAATTAGACGTTGAATCGAATGAGCCGTCATTAACATTCCTCACAGTTTACATACTGCTATATTTTTACTGAAGTTGTGTCTTTGGTATCCTGTTTCTTTTTTTCTAGTTGGTGATCCCCTTGGTGTACGAAGCTGTATTAATTACGGCGATTCCTTTCTTCAGGTAAGTCGAATTTTCAATTTCACTTTTCATAGTTTAATTTTCGCCGCGGATATGTTTTTATTCTACTAAGTTTGACTGATCGTGAGTCAAATCGAACTGTCAATCTTTCTTACCGACTACTTTTTCCCTTATTTTCAGCTAAAGAAAGTTCGTCTTCGTACGACGTTCGCCTCAATGGATACTTCAGGAAGTGGAGTGAAGTTATCGTGCTGTGAACATTATGAAAATGTCATTTACGCGTACAGCGACCCCGAGATTACCGCGGTACAAAAAATAATATTTATAATAACAATGGCACAATTTTGGAGTGATGACGATGATGATAATGGGATTGAAGAGTCAATTTATTATGGGATAAACAACACGGGAGTCACATATTCAGAAAGAGTGCATGGAGGTTAGGAAAAATCTCAAGTTTGGTGTAGATCGGGCCAATAGTGAACAAGACACAAGTATTTAAAAACTTAAAAATTTATGAGAGATGTATGGATTGCTAGACTATGTGTACACGCATCCTCCCTCCCTCCCTCCCTGACAAAAAAAACGGAGCTCCTTTTCCCAGTTTTTTCTTTTGTCGAGGGTTCGAGGGTAGGTTGCGGCTATACGTAGGCCATGGATTGCGGGACGTATGCACCTTCCGGAAGTCTACACATTTCTAGTAAATTTTGGAGGTTTTCAATGGCTGTATCGCCCTCGTTCAATATAGGCCCGATAAACACCAAACTTGAGAATGTTGCTAATTTCAATGTGCTCTTTCTGACTATATGGGTCTAGTGTTGTTTATCCCATAATAAACGGACTCGTACTCAGCCCCTCTTGGTTTGAAACCAGGCAATGGAGATAAAAAAGGTGATGCCAATGATAGTGTAAAGAGGAACTGTGAGGATAGCCGGGGGCCCTTTTAGCTCACATGGGAAGGATTTTTACCATACTGGTCACTACTACGAACCAATTTCCTGCACAATAGCCAATAAACGAAGCAACAGTGTCCCAAATGAGTCCCATAATGCCATTCGACACAACACCGACCCAGTCCCACGCAGAACTTAAAAATAACCAGTGACTCACGATGCAAAAGTATTCCTTATACAGGCCCTTGACCAGTGTTTGTTTTCACCCGTTTTGAATGTTATTCTTTTATTTCTAAATCAAGCCTCTAACATCTCTCTCTCTACTTTTTTAGATCATTGATGTTGCCACGGGAAAAGTTCCTTTTCATCGATCAGATTGCATCTCGCATTACAAAGAGGTAATACATTAAGGAAGTAAACTTGCGTCGGATTCCACCCCACCCTGCTTCCCCAGCCAGATTCTTTGGGTTATTGCTGATCAGAGACGCATCCCAGATTCGTAATACTGAGATCTATATAGTTTTCTAAAAGGCAATGGCATCAGGAAGCGAGATGATAAAGTGGCGAGCTTATCAAAATCGCTCTTGTTTGGTTCTCCAAAGTCTCCCGAAATACTCTGTTGCCGCATTCAATTTTCGTTTTCGACAGTGGACAGGCCGGGCCATCTCCAGAATACTGCCCTTTCTTTTTGCCCTTGGCCACCTATATTTATTGGAAGATAAAATTGCCAAATGCGTTTGCATATTTAGTAACATTAAAATTATGTAACTTGACCTCAGGTTCAGATCCATGGACCCGTGAGCCTATCAGAAAATGTCGAATGTATTGTTGTGAACGCTCGTCACCAAGCAGACACGCGGATAGGGAGCCTCCTGGACCTCTTTGTGGAGCAAAACAAATGTAACCTTATTTGGATGGACCCTGATGACCTCACTGGGGTAGCACCTACTCCACATGGTGCCTTCGGACATCTTTTGAGCGCTGAATCACTATCCGGTTCTCTTGGAATCGAAGAAGAAGATCTCTAGGACGCGCGACAACTCGTAAACGGCGGAAGCGATGACGTCTTTCTTCCAAATTAAAGGGCAGGACTACTTAAGGAGATAAAATCCTGGGGAAAGTAATGAGGGTCATGGGCGATTCCGGAGAGGGGGGTTATTCCGTGTTTATTGTGACGGGGAGGTGAGAAAATGGTTGGCACCTTTTGTGGAAGTATATTGTAACGAGGGATTTTTGGGGGGTGCTCAACAAATCGGGAAAAATTCAGCAATGGATTTCTTGTGGCCTGCGTTGCAGAGGTAATTTAACCCCGGTTAGTAACGTCTGTGCCGCAGCGCTGACATCTTTGTTCTGGGCCCTTAACGGACTTTACGAATTACCGGAAGTGCATTTCGAATTTCCTTTCAATCTGATTGGCAAATCTACATTGGCTTTTTGAATAGGCCAATCGTGGCGCGTGCTCAAATCCTGGTACACAGGAGGGGGCCTAGAACAAGGATTTTGGCGCTGTTTTGTAGACGGACTTAACCAGAGTTTAGTTTCGTCTGTGGCGCAGGCTAGATTTCTTGGGGTTTAGTTTTGGTTGAGGGGATCTTTTTTTAGAGTTTTCTCCACAAGATCGAGAAATTTTCTGAGAGTAACCTATTCGCATCTCTCCGTCCTTCTCAGTCCTTCGTAACGCTGCCCCTCAACCCAAGCAATTTTTCTCTAGAGCGACTGAGAGCAAGTCAAGGACACAGAAACGAAGACAAGAAATTGAAGGAGTTATCTTTTGACGTTAAGTGATGCGCGGTTAGCGGTGATTCCAATGATCACTGTAGAATATTAAATGTGGCGCTACATGATGTCCTGAACGCTTTTTCCTGTGTATGGTATAAGCTTCAATGGCCTTTTCAAAATCTAATTTAGGCAGGGTCCCATCCTGACTCCATGGTGGCATCAGAAGTCCCGCTCCTGTGTATGTATGTTCGAAAGCTTTCTAGGCCTCAACCCGGGTCGTAAATTATTGCGAATATTTTAAAGGCGAAAATTTTACCGTCCCAAAAATACAAGGAATTCTGGACGTACGGAATGACAACATTAATCAGGCGCTCAGGTCAAGCGATATGCGAGAAGACCTTTCAAATTGGACTAAATTTCTGCGAGACTCTGATTTTCAGAAAGACAGGTCGTCACTTTTTTTTCAATAACGTGATTCCTGTTGAGTTTTTACACTGATGTAATAAATGGTTGCAGTTTTTATCACCCTTGTTTGACTTTCACTGCGCTTACCTTAAAGAGGGATACAGTTATATGCCAGCTTGTCCCGTTGAATTAACGGGGTCTAACGTTTACTAAAGAAACAGTAGCGACTGTGCATCTTGTTCATTGTTCACTCAGCGTTGTCGCAGAGGGGTTGTATTTACGTTTCTGACAGGGCGAAGGCAACCAACCCCTTTTGCAAAGTTGGATCCAGTACCCTCTTCCCCCCACGCGGCCTTGACGTGTTCTGCTCGCCAAAACCTTCAATCGGATAACTTCTACTTTGAAAACTAGAATTTTTTCATTTTGAAAGCAATCCACAATGACTTAAGGTGCGTTTTGCATTCGCGATTCTTAATCGAAGAGGTTGCTGTTAAGCTAGTCATATTGGTGTCAAAGGTCTACTTACGGGGTTGGAGAGCACAGAAAAATTGAAATAACAATTAAATCCCAAATGGTGGGGGTGTGCCACCCAGTTCTCCAAATCGATCCTGACCCTATTTCAGACCAATAAATGTCACTTTTCACATTCGTTTTCAGACCTGGCCTCTAAAATCCATACCTGTTTTCTACCTCATTTAAAATTGAAACGGTGAATACGTTCACACAAGTACAGCCCTCGAAAACGATACCTTATTCCAGACCAAAACAGCGGAAAAACCCCACCCTTTGGGGCGGCACATACATATACGAGGGGTCTTAATGAGGTCAACCGTCAGCCGTCAAAAAAGGTTATTTTTTACCGTCAACAGAAAAAAAAAAAAGTGTGTTGCACGTGCGAAGTTGTTGTTTTGCTAATTAAACCTATTGTTTTTTTGACGTTCTAGTTGTCGTCCGCGTCGTTGGATCTTAAACTCCCTAAATTGTACAAACGACCGGTTTCAATAGACCGGCGAAATTTCTCATTTTATTAAAGCACTGAGGTTACGACAACTTCGAGTTAAACTGATTTCACGGGTTGTCAAAGAGTCCAGCGATTCCTTTTTCCCAGGTGAGCGCCGACTCATTTCGCTTCAATATTCAGGAATGCTCTCGATCTTTTTACGCTTTCATTGCCTCTCGCCCGACATGTTTTGCACGGCGTTTGGTCATGCGAAACCTCCACGAAACATCCACGCCTCGCGCGAGGTAACTTTATCCCGATTCTAAAAATAACTCGAGACGAATTACCTATGGAATAGGGTGTATATGGGGGATGCCCTCTCTGTCCCCTTTATAGTCTCTTGCCGTCAAAACTATTCAAGGTATTTCAAATCTTACTATTTCAGCTCATCTTCACGGACTTTTAGCTCCTAAAGAATCATTCCACTTGAACAACCAAGGGCCATGTTGTCAAAAACACTCTCTCTGAAGTTCTTTAACCCTTGAACTAAAATTTCACTAATTAACCGTCAGCCGTGAAAAGCCCTAAAATTTCGCCCTCAACCGTTAAAGCTAACACCCCACTAAGTCTCTCATATGTGGCTTTTATAACAGGGACCCCTCCCCTGATATTTGACCCCTAAAAGAGAGAACAGCTCGAAAAGACAGACAAATATTAAAGAGCTATAATAAATTGAACTACAGTCAACTCTGTCTAAGACGGACACCTTAGGGACACAGTAACAACCGTGAAAACCGTAAGAACAGAGACAACAGGGACAGCAGTGACAACAGGGACAACTGTGGCAAATGTGAGAACAGTGACAACAGTGAGAATAGTGACAGGGACATTAGTGACAACAGACACAACAGTGACACAGCGACAATAGTGACAACTGTCATAACAGCGACAAAAGCAACAACAGTGAAACACAGACAACATCGACAACAGTGACAAGAGCAACAAAAGCGACAACAGTGAAAACAGCAAAAACGGTAACAACAGTGACAATAGGGACAACATTGTCAACAGCGACAACAGTGACAACGGCAACAGTAACAACAGCGATAACAGTGACAAGAACGACAATCTTGACAATAGGGAAAACAGCGACAACAGCCACACCAATGACAACAGTGACAACGACAACAACAGTACCTGACAACATTGTAACAGCAACAACTGTGACAACAGTGACACTAGCGACAACGGTGACAACGGCAACAAGAGTCACAACAGTGACAAGAGTAAAAACAGTGACAACAGCGACAACACTGGCAACAGCGAAAATAGCGACTACAACAAAAACAGCGACAGAGTGACAAAAGCGAGAACAGTGACAACAGCGACAACAGCTACAACACTGACAACGGCGACAACAGTGACCACAGCGACAACATTGACAAAAGTACAACCATTCACAACACCGACAACAGTGGCAACACCAACAACAGTGACAAAAGTGGCAACAGCGACAACGGCCACTACAGCAACAACAGCGACGACAGTGACAACACCGACAACAGCGATAACAGCGACAACGGCAACAACAGTGACAACAGCTACAACATGGACAACGACGACAACAGTGACAACAGCAACAACAGCGACAACAGTAGCCTGTTCCAGGCGTTCAAATAGTAGAGCGCGGGAGAAAAATTCACGAAGAAAAAAAAAAACTAGGGGAGACTGGAGGGGGTGAAAGTTTACCATCTTTCGAGGAAACCGGGCCCTGGACATTAGGATTACAGGCTCCTCTTGTCGCCAGCAATGAAAGTGTGGAGTATTTCACTGTCATTTTCGGTCGGTAAAAAGCCCCAAAAGGGCTACCAGATACATTTATGGTTGTGTAAAAAGTCGAGAAAAAGTTCGTCTTTTGTCAGTGACTTATTCATATTTTAAAGACGAGTATACGAAAGGGGATAACGTTTCTGTCAAAAATGGTATATAGAAGGGCAAGGGGTTGGAGCTCGGGGAGGAGCCTTACCATATAAAACTTTGTTGGGTATCCCAGGGAACTGAACCAATAACGGGGGAGTTTTTAGTCTTTTAATTTGTGGACATTATATATGCACTCTTGAGGGGTGATTTGGAACACATTTTTGGGCCAATGGTCTCTATAAAGTAGAGACTGCACTTAGCAATGCAAATTTGGTAGCGTCAAGGCTTATCAAAAGAGGAAAAATTACTTAGCTTCGGGTTTACGTTCAGCGCTAAAAGCGTCGCTGCTTAAGCACCTGCAATGATTGCAGTAGCCTACGCCAAAGACGAAACTAAACTCCGGAACAAGGATATCAGGGCCTCTTCGCAGTCGTTACCACGGGGCGCCCAGAATCACAACAGCCTACTAGAAGCCAGGTTATAAGGATTTGTATGGGAATTTATCGTAAGAGATCGATAAAAGGGTTAACCAAAACATTAAAACTTTTTAAACTTGCCAAAATGGCGTTTATAGAGCATTAGCCTGTGTGCAGACGCCCCCCTCCCCTCAGAAAAAATCGGAGCGAACGAGTACATCACGAAAGGGAGTCACGCACAAGCTAGCGTGACAACCAGAATTTTAAACAAGGAAACCAACATGGCCAATCCTTCGCCTGTCGACAGTTTTTTTGCGACGTTTACCGGCCTGAAAACAATTCTCTATCGAAATATATCTCTGTTAACTGTTATAATATTTCCTCTAGCATATCAAATGATCATTGTAGATTTTCTTAGCCAAGAACACAAGAGTGGAGCTTGTAACAATACAGGTAAGCAGTTTCAAATGTCTATTTTATTTTGCATCCTTTTTTATATCTTCATGATCGCCTTTTTATGGTTGAGAACCCCAAAGTCACTGATAGCCCGTAATTAGGTAATTTTATGATAAATGGCAGGGCGATTTGGATTTTCCTTAGTATATTCACAAGGTGAGGATTTGATCTACAACCTTATGACGTTTATTATTCACACTGTGGTCATAATATTCAAAACATTGAAGTTGTCTTGTCGGCAGGTGTCCTGCTCTTGGGCTTAAGGAGTTTATAGAATTGTATTCGCTGGCTACAATGTATATAATGTTATATTTCTTGCGCAGAAAACTGTCTAATGGCGATGGGAACCAAAGACCCGAAAAAAAATAGTAGTGGAATCGGAGGAGGAACTAAGGTATAATTAAATGTGATAATATATTAGATGACGATTTTTATTTTTTATTTTGTTATTTTTACTTACTTCTTTTTTCATGTTAAGTCGATCGTTGTGAGGGCTATTTTGTTTCAGGGCTCATTTGTGTGTTATTGTTCTCAGATATAAAAGCGTGTACCACTTTTTGGGTCGAAACGGGCGAACAATTCTTTTGTAATTTGTAAACAGTTTATATGTTCACTGTCCTTTGTTCCAGTGTCTCTTGTGCGATTTCTTTGTCGTCTGTGACCCAAAAATATTACAAAACTATTTGCATATTATAATGTAGAAACCGATTTAAATTTATATTGTAAAATTTTAACGAAAATGTTATCTTAGAAAATTACGTGAGCTGATACGAAAATAGTTGCATACCCTTGGACATCGAGTGACAGCGGTTGTCAAATAAAAACACGCGACTACTTTCACTCACGGTCAAAGTTGTATGGTCGACGTCAATGGTTAAAATAAGAGTCGCTTAAACTATTTCAGTTCACCTTCAGGATTTCGATACCGTAGGGCAAAAAAATATGGGCAATCTCAGGCTCGAATAAAACTTAAACACCTACAAATATATTTGTTAATAATACAGAAATCTTAATCACCTGCACGTGACTGTCACGAGGGGTATTATAAAGCCTAATGTCTACCGTGACAAGTGATGTTAAAAATGTTTAAACTTGTCTTTCTTATATCACACCATTGCTGTCCGTATTCTTAAGCTCCAAACCACTTACAATTTTCCATCACTGCTGTTAAAAGTGTGCTCCTGGTTGTTCATTTTTTGCGTATTACACCAATTTGTCTTTTCGACCTTCTCGTTGCCGTCACCGTAAAGCTCCCTAGTGATGATGACGATGATGATGATGATGATAACAATGACGGCGATGATGAAGACGATGATGATGATGGTGTAGCCTGTTCCAGGCTCCGAGATAGTGGTGAAAAGTCGTTCAGTAAAAAGAAATGCGAAAAACGCGCGGGGGCAGGGAAGAGACCGGGCTCTCTCCCATTTTTAGCAATTTTTCTGGCCGCCACCACCCCCTTTCCCAAGTAGCGCGCGTCTTATTTTCGCCCTGGCACGGGCTAATGATGGTGATGTTGATGATCTCTTTTTCAGACCAGTCCCCTTTTCAATACGAGGCATGTGTTAGAAATGGCAAATTACATAGGAATGATGATGGGCTCCATAATATTGTGTCTAGTGGCGGACGCTATTGGTAGACTGAAGACTCTGTTTGCATGTCTTCTCATTGCTTTTATTGGAGGTCTGTCCAGCGCATTTGCTTTCGATAGCCTGATAAATTTCGCCATCCTTCGTGGAGTTGTTGGATTTGCAGCAGGTATGTCGCTCACCTGTTTAGCATTTTTAAAAATTACCGTGAGCTCCGGGATGTAATTTATGCTCACTGTAGAAATCGAAGGTTTTGTAATGATCTTACCATTTAAACGGATAACGAAGATGACGTTTTAGGCCATGTTTGCACTATGCCATATAGCTTTTGCGCCGGCGCGAAAATCATACCGGACAGGGCTTCTGTTCACACATAAGAGCGGTGATTTCGGCGCGATTTCTGTAACGAAGCGAAGCTGCGCCGCGCCTATCGTTGGAGCGTCACATCTCGGATAGGCTGCCACAGTTTGGTGTAGTGCGAACAGGTATTTGGACCGTAGCAGCAGTAAATAAATAAGAAAGGGGAATGCAACCCACTGACACGGAAATATTCTGGAATGAGGATTGGGATTTACTTCACCAAACCCTCCTGGCCAACCGCTCCGGCAGGATGTTCGATGTGTGGGAACGACTTATTCCAGTTATATGCCTTAGGTGTTTACACTATACCGGATAGGTTCCCCCCGGGGGGGGGGGAGGTACTTCCTAGTAATAGGCTAATGGGTATGTGCCGTTGGATGGGGTCGCATTTTCACGACTGAATTGACTATTATTAGGATTGCATATTTGTAAGAGTTACTAGAATGGGGTCGCACATTTTCAGGATTTTTGGGGTCAGAAATTCAGGTATATAGGGATGTGAAAGTAGAAAGATTTACACATAATTAAGTACAAATGTGTCACTTCACTTCAGGATGACCAAGTTAAAAGGCTTTATAAGGTAGTTGCATAAACAGAAAGTGGCGAAGATAAGATTGCGAAAATTACTTTTTTCCCAAAGTGACTAAGATGGAGTCTATAATTGGCCACAAAATAGACTATAATGGGGTAGGGGTTCTGAGAGGCCAGCGGCACATAACCAGCAAAAATGAACCGAAGTAATCCCCCGGGAGGTTTTCTTTCATGTGGGCACGAAATGCTATCCAGTAACAGTGGTGGATCATACTGGGAGGCGGGGGCGGCGGTCATCCAGACCCTGAGATAAGGGGGTGGCCCGGTCTCTAAAATTTTTTTTCCGACCCTTCGGGCCTCAGTTTGGTCTAAAAGTAAGGGGGAGGGACACGGGCCCCCGGGCCCCTCCCCTGGATCCCCCACTGGGTATAGCGTGAATATAGCCTTATTTTCCTTGTCACCTCCTCACCTGTCATTTCTGCGTGGTCATCCGAGCCACAATCTGTTGGCAGAAGAAAAGTAGCTGAAGTAGCTAGTACTTTCGTTCAAAGTCCTCTGAGGTATAAGTAAGCCGGCCCTAGGGAATCGAACTCGGGCCTCCCGCCATGCAGAGGTTTACCAAGTAAGCTAACCGTTGTCGAGCCGGCTCGGTTTTGTTTTTTGTTTGTTGTAAGGTTTTTATTTGTTTGTCTTTTTTTTAGTTTTGTATCGTTACTTATGCTAAACAATTCCGGCGAAGGCAGCTAGAAGGATACTACAAAAAGAAAAAAACGAACATCGTCGAAAATTGCCAAAAAAACAAAACCCTAAAAAGTGAGTAAAAATTGATTAAGATGTATATTATAATAACTAACTCAATTACTTTGTTTTTTCTTTTCTGAAAAAGGAGGTGCCTTTCCAGTCTTGTTTATCCTGGCGGCTGAGTACGTTAATCCAAAGGCACGAGCCATTGTTTTATCTATTTTGTGGGCAGCCACCACCCTCGCTATAATGTCGTTAGCTGGCGTTGGCTACATTGTTGCAAATCGTCGAAATTTAATGCTGAGCATGACACTTCCAATCTTACTTGGTATTTTGCTATTGAAGTGAGTAATTCTACAATCCAGCTCCATACACACGTCTTCTATCTCCACTTTTCTTTTAGTTTCAGATTCAGAGTCGGATTTTGTTTTTTTACGTTATTATACAACTATTATACAGCTGTTATAGTGTTCTCGAAAAACGTGGAACTTTTATTCTCCTCAGGATTCTCCCCGAGTCGCCTCGATGGGTCCTTCTTCACTCAGCCTCAAGTAGATGTACAAGTGAAGCGCAAGGTCTGCTAGAGAGAGCTGTGACTGAGGATCAGAGGCAAACTTCTAAATACCGAGATTTTTTGTCCTTGTGGGAAAAGTTCTACTTGCCGCCTAAATCAGGCGGAACGGGCTGTTTCACTTTTCTTCGTCTTAAGGAACCTCGGAAAACAACCATTGTTCTGGGGTTTGCTTGGTGAGTTAGGGAGCGTCAGTTTTGTACAGATACGTTTACAGTTTACAGTAGATTTTACTAAGCACTCACTCGGTGGGTGGGAATGTTCTAATAAACATCCCATGTAATCAACCACGTCTTGGTAAACCGTCGTTACATAGATGTTTTGCTTGCACTTAGCTGGATGTGTATGGTGCACGCTCTAACTGTGTCGACTTGGCTCATGTGAACAGGTCTGTAACTGATAGATTATGAGCTATATTTCAGTTCTGAAAGGTCAGGATCGTTCAAAACATGTTTAGATGGTTCCTTTGACTCATAGATGAGAGTCCTGGAATGCTGGATAGTCAGCTACAACCAGATGCAACATGGCTTCAGGCATTGTAACTTATTAGGTCCCAAAAAGGTGTTTATCAGCTGTTGATCAGACTTTCCATGTTTCCTCCCCATGTCAAGGCTCGATTTCCGCTGTTCTGTTGGCCCTGCCCGAGAATAGACAGGGGAGGGAGAGTGCGGGCTCATTTCCCAAACATCGGCTGGTAATCGAGGCTAGTCCAATATCAAAGTTGCAAGGATCCAAGAAATGTAATTACCACTTAAAACGGGGGAAGGGGTAAAGAATCCCTTGTATTCAAACGATTTTTCCCTCTGAGGCACAGAGCGAAAAAGTGTTCCTTTTTGGCAAGACTGTCTCATCCATTTGACTCTGGTAGTAGCTGTCCTTTCGTTATCCATTGGGAAATTTAACACGGTTACCAGCCTATCACCGGTGTTCATTTGGGACAGATTTCCGCCCCTCTGGGGAGTGAACTGTTGCTTTTCTTTTTCTTAAAGTATTCTTTTTATCTTTCCAGGTTTGCTCTAGGAATGTTGTATCGTGGATTAAACACGAGCCTCATTCAGCTGCTAAGTAATTTCTATGCTAACTTCGCTGTTCGTGAACTTGTAAATCTATTTGGTTACGCTATTTTTCTTGTCTTCGTTACTTGGTAAGTATCGCCAGTCCTTTTTTTTCCATCTCGTTTGTTACATGTATTATTATCAATATCAATATCATCATCATTATCATTATTATTATTTATATTATTATAATCTTTATCATTTTTATTCTTTAGTTATTTACTCGTTGCGGCCAGAACAAGCTATTAGAGAGCTTTAGATTCTGAGACGAGGACGACTGCGAGTACGAGATTTTCTAAATACTGAGTGTTGCTCACGCGGAACCAGCGTCATTTTGGCTTGAAAACGTGATAGCCGTCGTCATGCTCGATTTAGCAAGAATGTTGTCCTAACGGAAACCAGTTATAAAGTGTTAGAGGTTTTAACATTTTGCGGAAGGAAGATGGCTTTAGCTACTTCTGTAAAGATAACAGTGCTAATTTTTTGGTGAAAAAGAAGTGCAATGAAGCTTTCCAGGGTGTCTATAATTTGAGAATACGCAAGAAAACTTAAGGTCAAATCTCGTACTCGTAGTCTTTCTTGTCCTAGAATCTAAAGGTCTCTATTGTATCACTGAAGGGTCAGGAAGTAAGACAAAAGGCACAGGATAACCAGTTCGTTAAGGAGTTATGTGTAGGTTTTAAAAAGAGTGATTGAGAGAAATGTGCGCCTGTCACCCTTGGAAACGTCCTAAAAATTTATTGTTGGGAGACGAAGAATGGCAATTTTTGAGGACTTGTTAGCATTTTATTTGTAAAAAAGAAAAAACAGTTTAACCTCCCGTAAGCGACCACCCAAAATGCAAAGGCTTGGTGGTCGCTTATGAGAGTCGGACCGCAAGGGCGAAATTTTTAAGTCGACCTAGAATGGAGTGGTATATTTATTCCAAAAAAAAATAATGAAAGTGTTCTTTCTGCTGCCAATTACTGGTAGTTTTATTGACAAAATCATTAGCTATTCCATATGACAGTTCATGTACGGAAGTGCACTTAATTAGATAACGCGCGCTATAAATTTGTGGTTCAAAAATGTTACTTGTCTACGTGACTTCTTGTACTTCTTGTCCCTAAAACGTCTGACGAACAAAAACCTAACTTCTTGAACTGAAACCTGGAAATCTGAGTCTTTTTCTCAAGGGTTATGGTTAATACTGCAGTTATAGATCGAACTAAGAAACACAGTAATAGATGTGTCGACAATAATGAAAGCTAAAGAATATATTCCTTTTTGTCCATTTTAACAATGTACTTCACTGTTTAGTAAGACCATGGGTCAAGTGGTCGCTTACCGGAGGTTGAAAACAATAGAAATTTCTAAAACTGTCAGCCGAAAAAGTGGTCGCGGTCGCTTGCAGGAGGTGGTCGTTTAGGAGAGGTTTCAGTGTAAGTCTTTGACTGAGAACATTTGGGAGGTGGTCGCACGTGGAGGTTCGACTGTACGTTCAAAAGGGACAGACGAGTTTAAAACCTTCCTGCTGGGCTATTTGTCTCTTTAGACAGCAAGGTGTTTCACTTTTAAATTTTGTTTTTAATTTTGTAGGTTTGATCGTCGTGTGTGTACCGTCATCTCCATGATTCTAGCAGGCACCTTCTGTTTGATATTTTCCGTTGCCTCCGTTGCATTTTTAAAAGCAGGTATTGATTATGTTAGTGCCAAGTGTTGACTTTAACCCTCGGACGTACAAGCAAAGTCATACCCCCACCGTGGTACAAGGGGGGGCGTGGATGGAACCCCTCCCCGGAGTTTTTGATATGTTGCAGTATTTCGAAACGATTTAACGTTTAGTGGAAAGCCTTTGATCTTCTTAACAAGATGAGGTATATTTTTTGGGTGGTGACGCTGCTGGAGGCCTGTGACGTCACCAACAATGGTCGCCATCTTGGCCGCTATCTTGGATTTTACCAAGAATTAGAAATCAGGTTAAAATCGCGAGAAGTGGATATTTTTTGTGCTTTACATGAAAAATAACACATAAATAAGCACTTTGCATGATTTTAGCCACACGATTTACTTTCATTGTTGAAAAAAGTTGAAAAAACATGTACTTTCACTCAAAAATGGCTTGACCACCTGCTACTTATGACGTCATATCTCGTAACCATAGAAACGGACCATCACTAAACTTGTCTCAAAAAGCGCGCGAGGGATAAACGAACAGCTACTGAAAACGTCAGATGCTGATATTTTATCCTCTAGGAAAACTCTCATAAAAACATTATGTACGTCCGAACGTCCGAGGGTTAAGTAGTTTCGATCTCTCTCCTAATTGCACTTTGAATGAAATTTAAAACTATAGTCGAACCTCTCCTCGACGGCCAACTTCGTGGCAGAGGTAGTGGCCACTGTGGAGAGTTTTAAACGAGAGTGAAGAGGTATAAGTATTAGAAACAAGAGGGGAACCGGAACCAAAATGCCTCTCGCAGTTGTTTCTGGGGTCGTTACCGGGGGGCGCCGGTCAGCTATTGGTCAATTTTTTCCCTTTCGTTAGTAACAGTCCAGACGTCTGCGGAAGTTAACTTGGTCCAGTTTTTTATTTCGACAACAGAGGAGAGGGCCCGCGCATACCTTAAAACCGAGCTGACCAATGACCAGTAGGAATCAAAGAAAGACTATCGTCAACTCGTGGGAACGTTGTTTAGCAAATAATCAAATGGTTATCAACTCTGGTTTTGCCACAGTAAATTGTAGGAAATGATAGAAATTCAGATTGTTTATCCATGTACAATATATTTAATGTACTATCTTTGCTCTGGAAACACAATACTTTTCTTTTTGTTTACTGCACTTTATTTAATAACATTTATTTAGGTATATATTTATAGAAGAACAACAAAACAAATAATCAAACAAAACAAGTCTGAGCAGCGAACGCCCAACGATGCACTCTCTCAGCGAAGAATTTGATCCCACCGAACTTCGGAGAGCGCATGCTTCTTCGGAAACGATAGATCTTCGCACTCTCGAGTTCGGACCCGATTAATTACGAAGTCCGTCTACTACGAGTGAGCGAGTGACTCATTTGCATATCTCTGTCCCTGCAATAACTCGTGGTACGCTTACGCGTCCCCACGAGTTAAAAAGGGCAAATTTAGCACCGAAAGTCGGATTCGGTCCTTTCCGCGCGCTTTCTTGCTCTGTGTTAACGTTGCATTGTCTTGGCTTAATCTGCCTATTTATCCGCCGGAACGAAACACAAAAGCCGTTGTGGAGAGCTGTTCGTTTAGTAGAGCTGCCACTGTTTATGGTGGCAGTTAAAATAAATTTTCTCTGAATAAGCTTTTTACACAGCTGCCTTACTGTTTTTAACAGCGTAGTGCAATAGCAGTCATCTTTTACTACCATTGGAGCGCAAAGGCGGAGAAATAGGCTTTCTTGCACAAGGGAACTTTCAAAAACTTCTCTTCTAAAGGCCCGTTTACACAGACTCTGTTTTCTTACTATTTTTGATGCGATTGTAATTGCCCGTGTAACCTAGCGGCGATTTTATGGTGATTTCATGGGGATTTATCGCTGCCAAATCGCCGTTGTTTCGAACCTCAAATTTTTCATGCCATTTGGCGGCGATCATGCGATGAAGAAACCTACATTAGAGGACCCTCAGGGTGTTTCGTTTAAATGGCATGCGCCCTACATTACAGCACTGCACAAGGATCGGCAGCCTCGTCTACAAGTCAGTACATGCTAGAGTGAGCCGAACGGGATAGCGAATTCTCCCAAAACAATTTTTCCTGAGGGGAAGGGGGGTCTATACACAGGCTTTTTCTGACCATATGTTGTTTCATTCTCGATTATCTATATTCTGCTTCACAGCCGTTCTTTGAGTCGTCGCGCAACGATCGAAATAAAGAACGGGTGTGAAGCGACTAGATTAGGGACCTTAAGATCCGACGACGGCGACGGCGGCGAAGAACGTCAAAAAAGCAATAGGTTTAGTAACCAAAACAACAATTTTGCGCGTGCATCACGCTCTTTTGTACATTTCTTTGCCGTCACTGCACGACTACGACCTGAAAATGCCCAATTTCACGTTGTACAGAGGACGTACATAAGCGACGACGAAATTTCCTCTCTCTATCCGTGAACTTGGATATGGTTCTTAGGAATTCAAGGTTAGGGGATCCACCTGCATTTGACAAAGTTAGTGACCTGGAGTAATCGCGATGAAGATTAACAGAACGGGAATTTACTTTTTCGGCGACGTTTTCACTGCCGTCGCCGTCTTCGGATCTAAACGTCCCTATTAACTCCAGTTTCACCCCACTTTAGAGCATGGCACCGTCGTAGCTGTTATTCAACTCATCGGCCGGCTATGTGTAATGGTGTCCCTCTCTTCACTCAGTTTGTATTCCATTGAACTCTTTCCAACGGTGGTCAGGTAATTACTGTATTTTGTTTTAAACAATTCACTGTAAAAAGGGTTGCGTCGTGGTTAGAGCACTCTACAGTTCCCCACCAATGTGTTCCGGATATTCATAGTTCCAAGGCGACGGTTTGTGTGATATCTTAACGATTTTACCGACCTAATACCGGGATGTAAATGTAAATGTAAATAGTTTTGTGAGCCTGAGAATAAAGCCGCCTATCATCAGGGAAAGTTTTGCCAAAGAGACGTCGGCGTTGTGGCCCAAAGAATTCCTTACTGATGACGTACTTCTGTCCAAAATCTGGTCAGGAGCTCTGATTGGTTGACGTAGTAGTTTTACTCATTCAGCTGTTGTTTGCAAATTACAGACAAAAACCAAATGGTCACAACGATCAAGTTTACAGCGCGCCGAGCTACCAAGACACAGTTATTTCCTTAGGCTTCACCAAATTCGTAGCAGAAATTTTACAAAAATATCGAGAGATAGAAAAAAAGACTTCTGGAACCCCACTTCTTCAAGATTGAAAATGTAAACATTGATTTACCTCAGTATGGAATTTTTTGAAGCCGAAACGCAGACGTCTCTCTCGCGATTGATCCCAGCGACGGCGAGCGATGAGAGGAGGCTGTATCAGCAGGCTATTTTTGTTGTTGTTGTTGTTGTTTGGCTATCACATTCTACTCCTCGCATTGAGTGGTTTAATCCATGCTCCATTTTCCCCTCACCTCAAGAAGAAATTGATCTAGATCAAGCAAACACGCGTTAGACTATTGTAGTTCTCAGGAGTTTTTGTGGACAACCCAGTTATTGTTGAAAAATATTATACATAGATGCGGTGTATCAGTGTTATAATGTATCAGTGAATATACTCATAAAGTAAAGACAAAGATAGGCTACAAAATTCAACAGGAAATTTTCACATTCACGTCATGTTACTACAACAATTCAATTTTACTTTCTTAATTAAATGTAGTAATTCCAGTGAGGTTTTAATTCTTCCAACAGTCCCCCAAAATCCTGAAGCATGTTGGTACTGAGTTCTAGTAGAATGACATCATGGTCACTTATGGCCTATCGCTTGTTTTGTAGGTGTTCCGCAATGGGACTGGCGACGAGTTTGGCATACGTCGGAGCAGGCTTGGCTCCGCTGATCATGACGATTGAACGGTTGCCTCATCCAGTACTGCCACTGGGCATCATGGCATGCCTGTGTTTGACCACAGGACTCTTGTGTCATTTTCTTCTTCCCAAGACCAAAGGCTCTACAGCGGAAACATTTGAAGATGGCTCGGAGTTGTCACGATTCAAGAGTTGGAGTCCAAAGACTTACAGAAAAATAGCTAAAACTAGCGAATCGGGGGCTCATAGTTTAGAAATGGTTGAAAACAATGTTACTGATGAAGACAACGATGAGTTTGCGGTGAGATTTCTTTACACGCGAACGCTTTAAATAAATCTGATAGTTTTTTTCGCTAGCACACGTGTGAAGCAACGCCTTATCGCTTCCGCCACGAAGGACATTTTGCTGTCTCTTTTACGAAGGATCTTCCTTAGTTGTGACCCGCGTGAAAGTGGCCACACGACCGAGGAATAATATGCTGGCTTCCTTTACGAGGAGTTTTAAGCAAACTCGACCGAAGAATGCCCAAGGGTTTAGTTGCCGGAAAGCGCGTCTCTGTAATATTTATTACGTTTACAATTTGGTACATTTATCAGTCTTCCTTTCAGGAAGCAAACAATATCAAACCATGAAATGTAAGAGCATGAAAGTTTTCTGTTAGCAAGCCGTTCTACCTTCCGTTGAATTCAGCTCCGGAATGGTTAATCTCGATAATGGGTCAACATGAGAAGAGTTTGAAAGAACATAAATTAAGTTTGCAGTTCTTTTGTGAATTCTCTAACTGTAACGTAAACCAACTTTCGCTTTTTTTTCAGGACCTTCGTCAAAGCTGGGAAGTTTCGTTTGATAGAGTTTCTCGCGCATCACAATGGGAGGTGAGTATCTTCTGGTGCGAGTGGCGATGCATCTTTAGCTAATTGTGTGCCCGGAAACCGGTCATTTCGCCTACAATTCTTAAGGTAACTGATGGGCCTTAGATGTGTAGGCCAAACAACTAAGAGATAGTAGACGAATCGACCTCAGTGTAGGCGAAACGACCGACATTCGTGTACCCCAGTACCCTGAGTTGTTCGAAGCTGGGTTAAGATAACCCAGGGTTATTGCGAGATTTGAACTCAGATTTGAAAGCTTAAAAAGTATTTTAGTTTTAATTCTTTTTGTCTGCAAGTTGATGATTGGAAGCTCTAAAAATAACAGAGAAAATTATCTGAGAAAATGCTTTTGAACACAAGAAAAAGAAATCAGAGTTAATTTTAACCCTAGGTTAAGCGCTAATCGGCCTTCGAACAACTGGGCCCTGGGTGCCAGAGTCGGTCTATGGTCGAAGATGCTCCTCGCCGCAAGCGAGAAAAACCCTCTGTTACCCAAGGAATTAATGACCGTTGATGATTTGTTTTTAATTACTCCTTTTAACAGATGCTGACTTACGAAGATGCTAAAAGGAGGTAAGTTAAATTAGAGAAGCGAAACAGTAGTTTTATTACGGTGGCCGAGTGCCACAGCTTCACAATATAAAACAAGGCTGTCTCTTCAAGTAATAAGCCTATGGTTTTAAAATTCATTTGATCTCGTCTTCAGAAATGCGCCTTCCGCGTAGAGAACCGCCTTCTCTGTAGAAATGAGCCTCCTTCAGAGAAACACACTTTTTGCGTGGAACTAAACCTCCATAGTAGAAATGAGGGTTTCCTGAAGAAATGAACCTCCTCCTTTAGAAATAAGTCCTTAACTCCTGTACCCCAACTCGCCCAACCAGTAATTTCAACGCTACAACTATTTTATTAAAATAGGGCCAGGATTCGGAGAACAGGGAGGCACATCCCCACTAAGAACTCCCAGGGATACCCCTCGGGGGTTTTCCCGTCGTCGGAGTTAAACCTGTTGTCTCATCACAATCAATCAATCAATCAATAATTTATTTACCCACGTTAACGTCAAAGCGCACAAGTGCTCGTTCAAAATACGAACGTGCAAATATCAAAGACCTTCAAGTTCGTCGAAAATATTTCACTACTAATCTTCTTTTCAACAGTGTGCGATATGTCATGAAACACTGTCTCCTTTTTGATATAATGCGTTTTCATAATTCTCTCTTTTGCTCTGTAGGTCGGCTTGCTCAAGTACAGTAGAACAGTCACTCGACGAAGAATCCCATCTTTTAACAGAGGAAGATATTGATAAGGTATCAATCATTTACGACTTTTACATATTTTGAGCAATAACAATTTGCCGTCTGTTCTCTTTGGATAGACTATTTGTTTTGCAGTGTGCTCTGAATCGCTGTATTCTCCTTGTCGTGTGGTAATATATGGTGGACTGTCAAGTCCTGAACTATAGAAAAGCTATGTTCTCTGGGATTTCGTTCAGGTTTTCTGGGAACATACATGCCCATTTGAGGTGGGTTACAAACGAGTTGCCCTTGTTTGTAACGAGGGTACCAACTCCACAACCCTTGACAGTTGGGATATGGTTACTGCTAGAATTTGCTACGTTTCTTTAATGGTTATTTTACGTATCACAGTTCAAGTGTTACGAGACGGGGCCTACGATTTTCCTTCTTCATCCGAGAAGACCATAAAGTTTAACTAATTGCAAAACCAGAGCAAAGACAGTGCATTTTCCTCAGTTATCTCAATTGCGACCCTAAGGCTGGTGCGGCCGAGAACGCGGGCTTACCTCACCCTAGTGGCTCAAAATGTGGATAGTGCTGTGCACCGAATAAATTACTATCCAATGGTAAAGGACCGGTCATTATTTATCGCCTGCGGGGGGGGAGGATTTTAGGGGGATCACTTGATTTTTGGAAGAAAAAAAGTGGGAATCAGTCATAACTGAGAACCCAAAAGGGGGGATGGCTAAAAACTTTGGAAGGATTCAGAGGGGGAGGGGGCACTCAAATTTGCTTGGAAAATGAAGAAAATGAAGCGCTATCAAACGTTTGAATAACAGGAGCCAAATTTCTGCTTGCGAGTCCGCTCATGTCTTATCTTCTTTCAATCATTTTCTTTTAGCTTTCACGGCATGTCCCATCATCCACCTGGATACTGGTCTATAGTACAAATCAACATGGTATGAGCCTGAATATGCTCTATCACAGGCTGAGAGACTTGGAAACTCCTGTCCTGTTGGTAGTAAATGATCAAGAGGGATTTGTAAGTGAGCTCTATTTATATAGTGTCATCTGGAACCGATTTTCGTGTTAATCATAACTCTAACAAAATCCTCAAATCGGATTGCCTACCAGCTGACGGATTTATTACATTTAGCTATAGGGTATTCGGACTTGTAGGCGTTTACACAAACACAGCCAATTGGAAAAAATTGATTACCACTGTTCCCTTTAGCTTACGGATTCATATTTTTGGGCACGCGACCAAACTCGGATGTTTGTATTTCGGGTTCAGGCAGTCCAACTAGCATAGACCTAGCTTCAAGCCTTATGCATGTATCCCTGACCTATTTGACGAAATTGCGCTCATGTTTGGCCTTCTTCGAATGATTTCTGTCTCCCGCACAACGTTTACATCATAGGTAACTTTGCACAAAAGTGAAAAGATAGCAAGAGATACAGATAGTGGGTCCCTCCACCACACACGTACACGGTTATATTGGGGCGTCTTTATTTCCAGTATCATACATTTTGAAAGTGAAATCCAGTTCTTTTTGTTAACATTTGTTTATTAGGTGTTTGGTGTATTTTCTCCCATTTCTCCTCGGATGGACGCTAGTTTCTGTAGGTTTGGAAAATCATATTTCTTCACTTGTAGACCACAGTTCAAGGTAAGCTTAGCGATAAGACCGAAAACTATATATATTGTCCAGTGTTTCATCTCAGTGGTGGACGACCAGCCCTTTCTACCAGCGTTTTTTCTTCACCTACACACGAGGCCATTTAGAAGTTTTTCAGTTTATCCAAGCAGTATACAGGACGCTTGTCAATGAATCTACTGACCGACTTAGCTCTCAAACGACTTCTCCCATAAAGTAAATTGGTGGTGTGGTTTTTGAGGGCTCAGACGTTTTCCTTGTCCCAATTGCTCTTTTTTTCTGCATCACTGTAACTCTTTAGAAACAGGCGATATTTATGAGCTCTATGTAGGGGAATCCAAGACAGTCTCGAATTCTGGATTTCGGATTCTTTGTGAATGGAACTTGGATTCCGGATTTCAATGGTTAGTACCATTCCGGTTTCCTTGAGCTGTAATTTCGGATTCAAAAACTGAGGATTCCAGATTCCACCAGATAAAATTCCCGAATTCCGGATTTCAGAAGCAAACATTTTGCGGATTCCGGAATCCGGATTCCCCTACCTGGTCGAAAAGTTATGTTCATTATCGGGGCCCACATAGTCTTACCCTGGGTTCCAGAGAATATTTTTTCTTATCGATACAAATGTTTCGCGGCGAAGCCCCGTCCACAAGGCGCGAAGCGCCGAGAGACGTCAACGAGCGCCGAAAGAAACGTCCGTCTCGGGAGCCTTATCAAACCGTAAGCACGGTTTATTTTATCCAAGGTATTATAAGAACGGACTTCTGGAGGCAGGGTAACGTAGTCTCACAATATCACATGTAATTAGAGATACAGGTATCTACATTTGCTTGGCTCTTTTTGTAGATTTATCCATGCCGTGGAAGAAATTCTTACTACATGACGGGAGATGCAAATGGCCTTGCCTTCGGAAGCAGTGAGTAAGTGTTTTTCTTTTCGGCGTTTTTATATTTAATGTCACTCTTCCTTTCCGGGTGTTGACGAATAATGCGTACGCTATACTATTTTGTTTATGAATTTAATAATAATTAGTAAAGTACATCAATGAAATAAAACTTATTTTAATCGACAAAGCAATGATCTTCAGTCTCTAGTTGAGTTATGTGTTGCTCAACCGAGTCGTTCGCAGGTCACCGGTAGGAAAGAACCCTGGGAGCGAGGTTGTGTCTTGATAAGTTCATGTCTTTTATATCAAAACCCTTCTTCTTCTAGGAGTGATTATCAAAATCGCGGGAGTCCGATTTTTTCAATCACGGGTATGATTACAGACCGAATTGGACGATACGAATCGAATTTCTGTTACAATTTTATCATAATCATTACAATATTCGAGAAAAAAAAGCATTATGTTTTTTTGAAAGAGCTTTTAATATCAATTATCCAAAATTAGGGAAAATATCAAAGAGACATTGTGTAATGTTACAAATTCGTCCATTTTTGCTTTGGTTATTGTGATAAATTCAGCGATTATAGGCGTCCGATTACAGTCAACTGTCCGATTACAACCCTACACAAAAATAAAGCAGTCAACGCACCAATCAAATTTGCGGAAATTGTAACGGTTATGATTAATAGTGGAATTCTCTTTTTGATCGGGCTGTTCTAGCCAGCCAAAACTGACAAACAGTAAGCGCCCCTAGTATGCTGACGCGAGGACACAAAGAACGACTGCATTAAAGACTATGAAGTACCTTGATCAATATTAAATTTTTGTTAATTTTCAGGGGGAAATTTGGGCTTTGGTTAGACAGTGATCTGTATCATGGTAGAAGCACTGCCTGCGAAACTTATGACAGCGAGATGCTTTCCGCCACCGAGGATTTCATTTGTCTTGGCGTTGAAGTCTGGACTTTTGGCTAGATGGAAAAGCAAGATCAGTCTCTGTCAAGTGCCAAGTAGCAATCAGCCATATAATATGCGATTTAAGGTGATGTTACAGGGGACGATTTCGCAACAACGATTTTTAGCGCAACACAGCGTTGCAACATTGTTGCGACATTGATTCAAATGGTTGCAACATTGTTCCACCATTGCGATGCTCTGTTGCACAAAAAATAGTCGTTGCGAATCGTCCCGTATAACATCACCTTTTCGCTTTTCAGATAAGGATACAAAGCAGCTGTCATCTTATTATGGGCGTGCCTAAAAAGACTAGGGTATCTTTGGGAAAATCCAATGAGCATTATCTGTCATGTGTTTGACCACAAAAGGTGCGATCAGGACTGATGTAGATAATATGGTGGATATTATAGATATCATTGTAGATATGATAGTGTAGTAGATTAATAAAGTGAAGGTATTTGCACCAAATCACATGAATGAGTAACCCCAGGAGATATTAGATACATCCTGAGGTTTGGCTTGTTGTCTGAAATACTGAATTACAAAGAAGTGTCAGTAACCAAGTAATCACGTCAGTTGTGGGTGACCGCTGTCTTTCAGTTTTGAATAATTGCTAAAGGTAAAGCTTGACATGACGCATAGTGTGACTGTCACACCAGTAGTATGTGTCGTGGTCTGTTATTCAAAGTAGCGGAATCAAGCTAGACTACTCAGAGTCCCCTATTTTTCCGTAAGATCGTCGAGATCGAGCGCTTTGCGTTACGGGCGGCCATCTTGGATGCAATGAGTGTCAAATCTACTTAGGGGGCGGGGAACAGTTTGGGAGAAGACGACAGAAGGACTGTCGTAACGCCTTTTACCATTCACTAATTAACCAACTCCGCTTTAGATGAAAAACATACCAGACACATCCGCGTGTTTACAAACATCTCGTACCCAATTTCGAAACAATGATTTTGTATAATACAATTGACAGGGACATTGTTCCAAATAAAACAGGCAAACATGCACATTTGAAACATTTTCCCAATCGAAGAGGCAATTTTTCTCCCTCCTCTGACAATATCTCAAAATCTTCTAAATATCTTTAAAAATAGCCGGATATTTGTATCTAGGCCTAACCCGACAGCTAAAAAAACCCCGCCCCCTCGGTACATAAGAAACCAAGATGGCTGTCCATACCGGTAAGAGCCTGATCTTGACGACTGTGAACAGTCTAGAAACACCCGCAATAGTTAGAAGAGGCCTTTGCCATTCATGTTATTATTGGAAATTTTGGTATAAATTATCTTAGTAAACACGAGAAAACAAAAAATTAACAACTGAAACTAAAGAGACATTTTAAAGATATTTTTGTTTCATGAAATTCTTTTGGTGCAACAAAAAGATTTCTATTATACAGACAGCTATAAGTGTAAAGAATATATCAATATATTTATACAACATTTGTAGAGTATTAGTTTGGATGAATATTAAGTATAATTAAGAACGACTAAACACGTGGTTTAGTATAGATATCCATCGTTCGACGAAGATAAATTTATGTATTGCGAACCTATATATGTTGTGTTCGAATAAATTACAACTGTAGCGTAGCGTATTGTTTGTCCATGTTGATTAAAATGTCATTTTTAAATTTGAGTAGGGCTGTTTGGTTAGGACGATATGCCGACTGAAGCGTAGGCAAGAGATAATTCTTAAACAAGTGAGGCTAAAGCTGATTCGAAACTGCTCGTTCAACTAACTTAGAAACAAATTGCCGATTACTTATAGGGCGAATGCTTTTGAAAGCAAGGTTCGTCAGTACTGACAGAGCTAAACTTCTGTAGACAGTAGTTTGAAGCTATACCGGCACCACATCAACCCTGAACCCCATTTTCTATCGGACCTTTAACAATTATTCCTCGAGTCCGAATGGCCTCTGAGTCAATAGCCCATGAGGCCGAAGGGGCTATTGACTCAGAGGCCATTAGGGCGAGAGGAATAATTGTTTTAGTAGAATTCAACTACAGTGAAACCTCTCTTAAGCGGACACCTTCGGTACCTTCCCAAGTGTCTGCTTAATAGAGGTTGTAAAAATTGCGCAATGTTTGTTAATGATCAACATTCAACGGTTACTCTGTACTGTGATAAACTTGCATGTTGTTAGAGAAGCTATCCAGAGTTCAAGTTCATTACCTTTCATTGCCAACTTTAATTTTTTTTTAAATGCAAAAACATTAACTGACTTCAGTACGTATTTCAAGGACGTAATCCAATTCTACTATTGTCAATTCAGTCCGTTGTCCGCTTAATAGAGGTTTTTAACAATGGAAATTAGCCAAATACAACTTATTTTAGTGTCCGCGTCAGCTTAATAGAGGTGTCCGCTGAATAGGGGATCCTTATAAAGGGAAATATAAGACGTTAATTTCGGAGCCAGGCTTAGTGTCCGCTTGATTGGGGGTCTGCTTAATAGAGGTTTTACTGTAGTTGGTCAAAAATATTGAGACAAACCAACTTTACCTAGTTAAAGCTAAACTTGAATCCTTTTTTTGCCGCCAAAAAGTCGGCGCTTTTCGCTACTAGTGGGCTATAACATATAGCCTAGTAGTAGCTCAACCAATCAGAACGCAGCATTGATAATAGACCACTAGTTGGATTTTACTAATTAACTTTATCCTCTTCCGTTTCTATGGAGAAAAGTTGTCCCGGGAAATAGGGTCACTGCCTGGCCTCCCAGCCAAGTCAACTTGAGCGTGCGTTTATATGACCCCTTTGCTTGAGCCAAGAGCTGACAACAGCGCTCACACATTCTCAACTTATTCATCTTGCGAGACTGCTTCATTCACGTAATTGAGAAGAATGGAGATGAGTCAGTTTGAGAGTGAGGTTGTTATTAAGCATGCGTCGCATGTATGGAGATAGAATTCGTTTGGACTTCCACTAAGAATGAATGGAATGTACAGAACGCGATTTGATCACTCGCGATTGGACCTTCTATCACTCGTTATCTGATCACGCGTGTTTTGACCATCTCCACGTGAAACTTGCGCAAAGCACTGCGTTGGAGCAAAAGCGTTTTGACTTTCGATCGTTGTCGCCCACACTCAGTACCCTTTGGTTATTACTAGTTGATTGTCATTCTAATACAGTAAATTAGCAAAACTCGGGAAAGTCACGCGGTGATCCGTTGAGTTCCATATAAAAAATATGATTTTTTCGGTATACTTAAAAACAATAAATAAGCGCCGATACTGATATCTATTGCGAATTTATTTGTATAGGGAAATGCATTTAATCCTTTGAAACATTGCATTATTAACGAGCGATGTGCCTAAGAAGTTAATAGTTTGTTTCACGTCGGTGTTTGCCGTGCGTTAGCTCTGGGACATATTGTAACGAGGATGAATGCTGTGTCGTGACACATCGCGTGGCAGACATTCGCGTCGCTGGGCTTGTTTACGTTCGCACGCATTGCGTGCCTATTGTAACTACTCTATTTGGGCGACGCCCAAATAATAAGACGCGGAAAAAAAAGCTTAGCGACCGGGCGTCGAATTCGAAGTAAGAGCTTCGTGTATTCATACAACTAAATTTTATGCCCTGGAGCTGGGAAAACTCTCATATATATCGATTCATGATCATGTCGTGTATACTGAGTTTTTATTATCACATGTTTTTTTATTTTCTTCCGTGATTTGAATTTTCTATGTGGATTACATGGGTATAAAATTTCGCGAGAATGTTTATTTGCGGAATCTTTAATTTCGAAAATTCTTTTTTACAATCGCGCAAAACGCTAAAGAACCGCATAATTAAGTGCCAATAGGGTCTAAATAAATAATTAAAAAGAGGTAGTTTCATTAGAAAATGAAACACGGCCTTACATCATATCAGGTTACTCTAAAGAGTAAGATAGATAAATAGCTACCGGGAAAAAAGTTAAAATATTTTTAAAGAAAGTCTTTAAAAGCCATTTCCTTCTCTTGACTGTTTAGTTTCTTAGCGTTTGGACCGCAAGGAAGAAACCACAATCAGCGACAAAATTAGATGAGACACTTTTCCCTAAAAGACCTTTCTGCCGTTTTACTGACTCTAAAACGACAAAATAAAGCTTTTCTTCTCTCATCTCCCCCATGCAATGTTGTGCGGCTGTTCGAGTTGCCTTGTGGCACGAAATTTACCACAAGGTACCTGTAGAAAACAACAAATACCCCAACTCTGAATGAAAGAAAGAGGGGAGGGGTGTGAATTGTTTTGTTCTCTCAAGAGAGAATAGTTCTCTGAAGTTACCCACGGGTACACTGCTCAACAATTTTGTCACCGATTGCATTTCAAATACTTCAGTTTGAGATATTCTTCACTGTTTAGAGTCAAAATGATTTTTGTGAGTCTTTTGATCTAAGTAGATATGAGCAAAAAACAACGCGTAGGTTACTATGAGCAAAACAATGTACGAGACAAATGAGTCCTCACCAATAGTCTACTACCGAGCCGGCCTCAGCCTCTATTTCAAAGCGGGGCTAAATGCAAAGTCATTGATATGAAAATTTTTTTTATTCTCATGCAAATAAAACTCATTTTCACAAGAAAACTGGGATTTGCACTTTTTCTGAACTGGTATAGTGTGTGGCTTGCTTCTTCTTATTGTCACTCTGAGATGGCATGGAATACTATTTTTGGTTGACTCCAGGGGTTTTGCTTTAAAAAATAATACAGATTTAACTACGAAAGAGAAAGATTACATGAAAGAGAAATATTGTAAAGCGAAATATTGTACTATGTGTGTAACATTTTATAAATTGCCAAGTAACAGTTTTATTTTCGATCGGATGTCATCAAACACATTTTCTTTAAATAAAATATTCTTGCGTCATATTCTTTTGTTTATATCAGTTTCTTGAGTTGTTACGAATAAAACATATTTTTAGGCAGAATGTCATCACACACATTTTCTTAAAATAAAATTAACCTATTGCGTCGTGTCCTTTTGATCACATGATTTGCCAAAGTCTTTATAATCAGATGACGCCCCTTTCATATCATCATATCAAGATACGACTGAGTGAAACACGTAAAGTGAAACGCAACAGAGAAGTTTTTCCCCCGCGAAAATACAGGTAGGCTAAATCTGATCAATTAGATCGTTTATTTAGTGAAAGGTTTTCTTGCCTGTAACAAGCATATAATATTGTTCAATGCCATGTTATTTGTGCACTTTCTAAACAAGCCACACTATAATTAGTGATTTCGAAAAGTTTCCTGTTGTTTTTATCGCTTTTTTGCGATTCCCGTGAGTGCATTGATAGGGTCAGAAACTAACGTAACGTATTTTAATTAACAATCAATTGAACTGTTTTTGAAAAACCTTCTTCATTATCTTCGTATTTCTAAGTCTCAATATCTTCAGCACAATTTTTTCTCTACCAAAAGCAATTGTCTGATGTGGTTCGTTTTTCCCCCATTTAGCGAAAAAAAAAGAGAGAGAGAGAGAAAGAGAGAAAAGAGCCCATGCGGATTTATTTAAGACGGTCATTCCATGTAAGACAATCTTTCCATCTTTGACTTGTGGTCCTTTAGCACAAATTTTAAAACTCGTCCTTAATTAGCCGGGTCCACTGAAGACAAGCATCTCAATTCAAATGGTTTTCCTTCTCGAAAATCAGTTCAGCAAACAGACCTTCGCTTAATCCTCCCAATTCAATTTTCTTGCCATTTAATACATTCAATTAATTTTTTCGATTTTTTTTTATCACGGTAGTTCTTATTTTATTTATCAGAAGTGCGAACAAAGCTTTTACCACAGCAGGTTTCAGGAGGTATTCCCGGTTTAAAGTGACTTGGATGATCGAATTGGAGCAAAAATCAAAAGCCCAAAAAATCCCAGGACCAAAAATTAACCGCCAAAAAAATCCCATACACAACTACACGGCCGGAATACGCGGGCAAATCACGAATAACAATTTTCAGTTAAATCAAGCCATCCGAGAAAATTTTTGCCAAATTTTCGCTAGTTACCTCAAGAAAAACCCGAAATCGAAAATTTCAAAAATCCTTCGATCAAACCCGTCACTTGAAATGTAGAGTACTACTGGGGTTTCGTTCCACCCCAATTTCGAAAATCGAGAGTTTTGCTTATGACGTACTTCATAACAGCAAAACAGATTATCGAATACGAAGCTGAATCGGAGAGACCTTCAAGTAAAACGGAAACAACCACGAATGGGAAAAGAACCAAGTATCCTGTATTTTTTGGAAACCGAAATACACTCAACTCGAAAGCGAAGAACCCTCAACTCCGGTGAAAGGGCCTGCAATCAACTAAAATGGGTCAGTTAATTTGAAGCGTGACCATCCCCTTTAGGCATTTGCGTTACCTCTAGCTGGGCTCTTTTGCCCACTGCACCGTGGGGCATTTGGAATCAAACGTCTGTCTCGGGGAGGGGAGAGTATAGTAGAGTTTTACATTTTTAGCGCCTTACATTGAGAAAGTTTGCGGTATTGTGTTTGGCAAATTTTCATGCGGTACTTCTATAATTGTGGTCTTGAATTCTAATATTGTGGTATTTCCAAACGTGCGGAATTTTTTTTTTATTGGCTCGGCAATTTTTAGCATGGTTGTGTCGAATTTCTCGATTTTTCACTGCGGTGTAACGGTGTTCCGTATACCCCTAGCCGCTCTTTAATCTTTTTTCTTTTGCGCATGTGTATACTTCTGCCACAAGACCGGCTTTGATAGTGTGATATTGTGCCCAGTTAAGGTTTCAGAAAGGTTTACCAAACAATATTTCCATAATAATTTGTTATGCGGTTGAACATATCAACAGCATGTGCAACAACAGCACCTTCATATTGTACCATTTATTATTATAATTATTATAACTATTATATTATCATTATTATTATTATTATTATTATTATTATTATTATTTGAAAGGGTTATTTTGGTGTTAATCCAATCCTAAGTTTTTCTAGTTTTGAAAGTAAAAAAAGTTTTGTTGTTGATGTGGTCATAGCAGCCAAACATCTTTAAGTAGCGAACCGCATTTATATACTTAAAAGTGTTTTTATCACGAATTTTTACCAACAAAGTATTACCAATAACGAAAGCTGTTGAAAATTATGACGATTATCCCCTAAGTTCTCATAAAGCTAACAGTAGAATTTACCGAATTTCACTTGCACTGCACTAAAGAGGAACAGTATGTTTATAAGGATTATTGCTGCAATTGATTAACAATTATATTTTCAAGTATGGTTCTGTCACGTGTTACTGAAGTAGTATTGTAACTCCCTGCTGCTACTAAGTTGATTGACTAGGGCAACAAAAAAAACTTGAAAAAACGTCGCTCTGAATCTGAAACTGAATCAGCAACGGAGATTGGTGAAAAGTTAGTTCGCAATAGTTGGTTACTAGGGTGGCCTGAGCGACTGGGCTACTTAATTCTGGAAAGCAGTTTCATGTCTTGAATGAAAGCACAAGGGAAAACTGAAGCAGATTACGTGTACTGTCCTGTTGTTTGAAAATTACTTCACCAGGCATTTCATGACTGCCTGCCAGAGAATTCTGATTGATTTGTTCAGTCAATGAAAGTTTTATACTAATGTGAGATTACCACTTGTGGCAAAATGAATGGTTGTTTTGGTAACAGTGCTTATACAAGTGAAGTTAATATTCATTTAAACTATTAACCGATTTTTCCAGATCAAACCGTTATGGCACAGAGTGAAAACGGAGCAGCATGTGAGAGTGATGTTACGTCACTTGGTAGCGAACAAGAGCTGAATTTTGATGATGGCACGCTGAAAGGTAAAGATTCTTACAACTGTTAATAGTGTATCACCAAAAGGCCTTTAATATTTATAGCAAACTAAGGAGAAATGAGGGTGGTTTTTTTAACTTTTTATCTAGGCTTTTCGTAGAATTTGTGGTCGAACTTACCACTTGTGGCAAAATGAATGGCTGTTTTGGTACTAGTGCCTTATATACAAGTGAAGATAATCTCAATTTACAGCTTTATACTGATTTTTCCAGATCAAACCATTTTGGCACAGAGTGGAAACGGAGCAGCAAGTGAGGGTGATGTTACATCACATGGTACCGGACAAGAGCTGAACTTTGATGATGACACACTGAAAGGTAAAGATTCTTACAACTGTTGATAGTGTATCACCAAAGGGCCTTTAACATCGAAATTTAAGGAGAAATGAAATAAAAGATACAGAAAGGAAAGACAAAAAACCGTCATTTGATAACATTCAACATACATAAAGACTGAAAGTCGTTAAACATTATCTCCACCGAAGGTGTTTTTTATTTTTTATCTAGATTAAACTTTTTCTAAAATTTGTGGTCGACGAATTCCTTTATCTTGAGGATTCACCGTTACATATAGCCCTGCATTAGCTCCCGGCATGTATGATTCCTATTTTCCCGCCACCCCGAAAGATGCACACGTACCGCATAACGGTTTAGTAGTGTGAGCTACAAATTTACTGTATTTTCAGCTCTTTTAGCATTTTTAACATCAGAAAATGAGGAACGGAACAACCAAATTTGCCCCTATTTCACAAGTCTGTGACCAATGTCATGATCAACGCCATTGATGAGTTAACAAGTGACAGCATTTGTCTAACCAAAAAATAAATAATCCCCGTGGTATTTTTCGTTTTAATCTGTAGCAAAGAGATGAAGACGGAAATGAACTCACAAAAAGTTGCACACGATAGTCCGCATTGTACTCTTATCTTTTGTACCAACAATTATAATTCACCATTTTATTTTTTTTATACCAAAGCAAGTTTTCTTCCCAAGAAGTATTCCGGGACTTAAGAGACGTGGATGACCGAATAGGGGCAAAAATCAAAACCCTAAGCATTGACCCCTCAAAAAAATCCTATACACAACTGCGCACCAACAAGATTATTCAGTTAAAATCAAACCAATTAAGAAAATACTTGCCAAATTTTTCCTACCTCAAAAGAATCCCGGAATTGAAAATTTGAAATCCAAAAAATCCTTCTATCATCGCCGTTACTTGAAATCCGGAGTACCTCTACTGGGGTTTCGTTCCAACCCAAATTTATTAATCGAACGTTTTGCTTATGACGTACTTCATAACAGCAGAACAGATTGTCGAATACGAAGCTGAATCGAAGACACCTACAAGTAAAAAGGAAACAACCACGATTGGTAAAAGAACCAAGTATCTTCTATTTTTTGGAAACCGAAATACACTCAACTTGAAAACAAAGCACCCTCAACTCCGGTGAAAGGGCCGGCAATCAACTAAAATGGGTCAGTTAATTTGAAGGGTGACAATCCCCTTTAGTCATTTCCGTTAACTCGAGGCTCTTTTGCCCACTGCACCGTGGAGCATTTGGAATCAAACGTCTGTCTCGGGGAGGGGAGAGTACAGGAGAGTTTTACAATTTTAGCGCCTTACATTGAGAAAGTTTGCGGCATTATTGTGTTTCGCAAATTTTCATGCGGTACTTACGTAATTTTAGCCTTGAATTCTGATATTGTGGTATTTCTAAACTTGCGCAATTTTTTTTTTATTGGCTCAGCGATTTTTAGCATGGTTGTGTCGAATTTCTCGATTTTTCTTCGCGGTGTTACGGTGTTCGGTAAATCTCTAGCCGCTCTTCAATCTTTTTTTTGCGCATGCGTATACTTCTGCTACAAGACCGGCTTTGATAGTGTGATACCGTGACCAGTTGCGGTTTTAGAAAGGTGTACACTTTTAGTGCCAAACAATATTCCCATGATAATTTCTTATGCTGCTGAACCCATCAACAGAAATAATTAGCAAGGCATTTATAATAACGGATGCTGAAATCATATACTGCAGCCACAGCACCTTCGCATTGTGCCATTTATTATTATAATTATTATAACTATTATATTATAATTATTATTATTACTATTTAAAAAGGTTATTTTAGTGTTAATTCAATCTTGAGTTTTTGTAATTTTGAAAGTAAAAAAAAGTGTTGTTGTTGATGTGGTCATATCAGCCAAACATCTATAAGTAGCAAACCGAATTTATATACTTAGTGTTTTTATCACGAATTTTCATCAACAAAGTATTACCAATAACGAAAGCTGTTGCAAATTATGACGATTATCCCCTTACGTTCTATAAAGCTAACAGTAAACTTTACCGAATTTCACTTGCACCAAAAAGAAACAATATGTTTATAAAGATTATTGCTGCAATTGACTCCTGATTCTGTTTTCAAATATGGTTCTGTCACGTGTTACTGAAGTAGTACTGTACCTCCCTGCTCCTACTAAGTCGGTTGACAAGGGTAAAAACAAAAAACTGCAAAACCGTCGCTCTAAGTCTGAAACTGAATCAGCCACCGAGATTTTCGAAAAGTGAGTTCGCAATGGTTGATTACTCGCCTCAGCGAATGGGCTACTGAATTCTGGAAAGCAGTTTCATGTCTTGATTAAAAGCACAACAAAAAACTAAATCAGATTACGTTTACTGTCCTGTTGTTTGAAAAGTACCTCACCACGCATTTCATGACTGCCTGCCACAGAGTTTTGATTGATTTGTTCAGTCAATAAAAGTTTTATACTAATGTGAGTTCGCCACTTGTCGCAAAATGAATGGTTGTTTTGGTAACAGTGCTTATGCAAGTAAAGTTAATATTAATTTAAAGCTTTTTACCGACTTTTCCAGATCAATCCATTACGGCACAGAGTGGAAACGGAGCAGCATGTGAGAGTGATCTTACATCACTTGGTAACGGACAAGAGCTGAATTTTGATGATGACACAGTGAAAGGTAAAGATTCTTACAACTGTTAATAGTGTATCACCAAAAGGCCTTCAATATAGCAAACTAAGGAGAAATGAAATAAAATATACAAAAAAGACAAAAAACCGTCATTTGAAAACATTCAACATACGGAAGTGGTTAAAGAGTCAAAGTCGTTAAACATTATCTCTACTGAAAGTGGTTTTTTCATTTTTTTTGTCTAGAATAGACTTTTTCTAGAATTTTTTGGTCCAGTTAATCACTTGTGGCAAAATGAAGGGCTGTTTTGGTACCAGTGCTTATACAATTGAAGATAATATTAATTTACAGCTTTATGCTGATTTTTCCAGATCAAACCATTATGGCACAGAGTGGAAACGGAGCAGCAAGTGAGGGTGATGTTACATTACATGGTACCGGACAAGAGCTGAACTTTGATGATGACACACTGAAAGGTAAAAATTCTGACAGCTGTTTATAGTGTATCACTAAAAGGCCTTTAATATAGCAAACTAAGGAGAAATGAAATAAAATATTCAAAAATGACAAAAAACCGTCCTTTGAAAACATTCAACCTACGGAAGTGGCTAAAGAGTCAAAGTCGTTAAACATTATCTCTGCTGAAGGTGGTTTCCTCATTTTTTATCTAGATTAGCTGGCTTTTCCTAGAATCAGCTGTGGTCGAGTTTACCACTTGTGGCAAAATGAATGGCTGTTTTGGTACTGGTGCGTTATATACAAATGAAGATAATGTCAATTTACAGCTTTATACTGATTTTTCCAGATCAAACCATTATGGCACAGAGTGGAAACGGAGCAGCAAGTGAGAGTGATGTTACATCTCTTGGTACCGGAGAAGAGCTGAACTTTGATGATGTCACACTAAAAGGTAACGATTCTGACAACTGTTAATAGTGTATCACCAAAAGGCCCTGAACATAGAAATTTAAGGAGAAGTGAAATAAAAGATATAGAAAGGAAAAAAACGGTCCTTTAATAACATTCAACATACATAAAGACTTAAAGTCGTTAAACATTATCTCCCCTGAAGATGTTTTTTTATCTACACTAAACTTTTTCTATAATTTGTGGTCGACGAATTCCTTTATCTTGCGGATCCGCCGTTACATATAGCCCTGCATTAGCTCCCGCCAAGTATGATTCCTATTTTCCCGCCAACCCGAAAGATGGACACGCACCGCATAACGGTTTATTAGTGTGAGCTACAAATTTAATAAATTTTCAGCTTTTTTAGCATTTTTAACATCAGAAAGTGAGGAACGGAACGACCAAATTTGCCCCTATTTCACGAGTGTGTGACCAATGTCATAATCAACGCCATTGATGAATTAACAAGTGACACCATTTGCCTAACCGGGAAATAAATTATCCCCGTAATCTTTTACGTTTTAATATATAGCAAAGAGACGAAGACGGAAATGAACACACAAAAAAGTTGCGCATGATAGTCCGCATTTTACTCTTATCTTTTGTACCCACAATTATAATTCGCCATTTTATTTTTCTATACCATAGCAAGTTTCGTTCCCAAGGGGTATTCCGGATTTCAAGAGACGTGGATGACCGAATGAGGGCAAAAATCAAAACCCTAAAAATTCCCAGGACCAAAAATTAACCCCCCAAAAAGTCCTATACAGAACTGCGCATGCACCAACCAGATTATTCAGTTAAAATCAAGCCAGCTAAGAAAATACTTGCCAAATTTTTCCTACCCCAAAAGAATCCCGGAATTGAAAATTTTAAACCCAAAAAATCCTTCTATCATCGCCGTCACTTGAAATCCGGAGTACCTTCACTGGAGTTTCGATCCACCCCAAATTTCTTAATCGAAAGTTTTGCTTATGATGTACTTCATAACCGCAGAACAGATTGTCGAATACAAAGCTGAATCGGGGAGACCTGCAAGTAAAAAGTAAACAACCACGAATGGGAAAAGAACCAAGTATCTTCTATTCTTTGGAAACCGAAATACATTCAACTCGAAAATGAAGAACCCTTAACTCCAGTAAAAGGGCCTGGAACAAACTAAAATGAGTCAGTTAATTTGAAGTGTGACCATCCCCTTTAGGCATTTGCGTTGCCTCTAGGCTCTTTTACCCACTGCACCGTGGGGCATTTGGAATCAAACGTCTGTCTCGGGGAGGGGAGAGTATAGTACAGTTTTACATTTTTAGCGCCTTACAATAAGAAAGTTTGCGGTATTATTGTGTTTCGCAAATTTTCATGCGGTACTTACGTAATTGTGGTATTACTAAACATGCGGAATTTCTTATGATTGGCTCGGCTTTTTTTAGCATGGTACATGTACGTGGAGTTCTTATCCCTTTCAAGGGAGTTTTTTTATAAGTTGGAGAAAATCCTATAGTTTTGGCGTTGAAATGAAACCTCTTCTGCCGAACCTTTTGGCTGAACTTGCTTTATATTCAAGTGAAGATAATGTCAATTTACAGCTTTATACTGATTTTTCCAGATCAAACCATTATGACACAGAGTGAAAACGGAGCAGCAAGTGAGGGTGATGTTACATCACTTGGTACGGGACAAGAGCTGAACTTTGATGATGACACACTGAAAGGTAAACATTCTTACAACTTTTAACACTGTATCGCCAAAAGGCCTTTAATACAGCAAACTAAGGACAGATGAAATAAAATATACAAAAAAGACAAAAAACCGTCATTTGAAAACATTCAACATACGGAAGTGGTTAAAGAATCGTTGAACAGTATCTCTACTGAAGGTGGTTTTTTCATTTTTTATCTACATTAGGCTTTTCGTAGAATTTCTCGTCGAGTTTATCACCTGTGACATAATGAATGGCTGTTTAGGTACTGGTGCTTTATATACGAGTGAAGATAATGTCAATTTATAGCTTTATACTCATTTTTCTAGATCAAACCATTATGACACAGAGTGGAAACGGAGCAGCAAGTGAGAGTTATGTTACATATGGTACCGGACAAGAGCTGAACTTTGATGATGACACACTGAAAGGTAAAGATTCTTACAACTGTTAATAGTGTATCACCAAAAGGCCTTTAACATGAGAAATTTAAGGAGAAATGAAATAAAAGATACAGAAAGGAAAAAAAACCGTCATTTGATAACATTCAACATTTGATACATGAAGACTGAAAGTCGGTAAACATTATCTTCACTGAAGGTGTTTTTTTATTTTTTATCTAGATTAAACTTTTTTTTAACAGCCCTGCATCTGTCTCGGGGAGGGGAGAGTATAGTAGAGTGTTACATTTTATCGCCTTACATTAAGAAATTTTGTGGTATTATTGTGTTGGGCAAATTTTCATAAGGTACTTATGTAATTGTGATCTTTAATTCTGCTATTGTGGTATTTCAAAACAAGCGCAATCTTTTTTTGATTGGCTCGGTGATTTTTAGCATGGTTTTGTTGAATTCGTCGATTTTTCTTCGCCGTGTTACGGTGTTCCGTATACTTCTAGCCGCTCTAAAATCTTATTTGTTACGCATGCCTATACTTCTGCTACAAGACCGGCTTTGATAGTGTGACATTGTGCCCAGTTGCGGTTTTAGAAAGGTTTACTAGACAATATTTCCATGATAATTTGTTATGCGCTTCAACCCATCAACAGAAACAATTAGTAAGGCATTTGTATTAACGCATGCAGAAATCCCATGGTGCAGCCACAGCAGCTTCACATTGTACCATTTCTTATTATAATTCTTATAACTATTATATTATTATTAATATTATTACTATTTGAAAAGGTTATTTTAGTGTTAATCCAATCTTAAGTTTTGTAGTTTTCAAAGTAAAAAAAGTGTATCTGTTGAAGTGGTCATAGCAGCCAAACATCTTTAAGTAGCAAACCGAATTTATATACTTAACAATATTTTTATCAGGAAGTTTTACAAATAACAAAAGCTGTTGCAAATTATGACTATTATCCCCTTAAGTTCTATAAAGCTAAAAGTAAACTTTATCGAGTGTCACTTACACCAAAAAGAAACAACATGTTTATAAGGATTATTGCTGCAATTGACTCCTGATTCTGTTCTCAAATATGATTCTGTCACGTCTTACTGAAGTGGTACTGTAACTCCCTGCTCCTACTAAGTCGATTGACTAGGGTAACAAAAAAAACTGCAAAAACCGTCGCTCTGAATCTGAAACTGAATCAGCCACCGAGATTGTCGGAAAGTGAGTTGGCAATGGTTGGTTACTAGGTTGGCCTGAGCGACTGGGCTACTGAGTTCTGGAAAACAGTTTCATGTCTTGAATGAAAGCACAATGGAAAACTGAATCAGATTACGTGTACTGTCCTGTTGTTTGAAAATTCCTTTACCACGCATTTCATGACTGCCTACCACAGAATTTTGATTGATTTGTTCAGTCAATAAAAGTTTTATACTAATGTGAGATTACCACTTGTGGCAAAATGAATGGTTGTTTTTGGTAACAGTGCTTATACAAGTGAAGTTAATATTAATTTAAAGCATTTTACCGATTTTTCCAGATCAAACCATTATGGCACAGAGTGGAAACGGAGCAGCATGTGAGAGTGATGTTACATCACTTGGTACCGGACAAGAGCTGAATTTTAATGATGACACACTGAAAGGTAAAGATTCTTACAACTGTTAATAGTGTATCACCAATTAGCCTTTAACATGAGAAATTTAAGGAGAAATGAAATAAAAGATACAGAAAGGAAGAAAACCGTCATTTGATAACATTCAACACACATAAAGACTGAAAGTCGTTAAACATTATCCCCACTGAAGGTGTTTTTTTCTTTATATCTAGATTAAACTTTTTCTAAATTCGTGGTCGACGACTTTCAATTTTCCCACCAACCCGCCAACCCGAAAGATGCACACGCACCGCATAACCGTTTATTAGTGTGAGCTACAAATTTAATGCATTTTCTGCTTTCTTAGTATTTTTAACATCTGAAACTGAGGAACGGAACGACCAAATTTGCCCCTATTTCACAAGTCTGTGACCAATGTCATGATCAACACCCTTGATGAGTTAACAAGTGACACCATTTGCCTAACAGGGCAATAAATTATCTCTGTCTTTTTTTTCGTTTTAATCTGTAGCAACCAGACGAAGACGGAAATGAACATACTAAAAAGTTGCACTCGATAGTCCGCATTGTACACTTATCTTTTGTACCCACAATTATAATGCAACATTTTATTGTTTTATATCATAGCAAGTTTCTTTCTAAATGGATATTCGGGATTTCAAGAGACGTGGATGACCGAATGTGGGCAAAAATGAAAACCCCCAAAATTCCCTGGACCAAAAATTAACTCCAAAAAAATCCCATACAGAACTACGCACCACCAAGATTATTCAGTTAAAATCAAGCCAACTAAGAAAATACTTGCCAAATTTTTCCTACTCCAAAAGAATCCCGGAATTTAAAATTTTAAACCCTAAAAATCCTTCCGATCATCGCCGTCACTTGAAATCGGGAGTACCTCCACTGGAGTTTCGTTCCACCCCAAATTTCTTAATCGAAAGTTTTGCTTGTGACGTGTTTCACAAGAGCAAAACAGATTGTCGAAAACGAAGCTTACTCGAAGAGACGTACAAGTAAAAAGGAAACAACCACGAATGAGAAAAGAACCAAGTATTTTCTATTTTTGGAAACCGAAATACACTCAACTCGAAAACGAAGAACCCTCACCTCCGGTGAAAGGGTCTGCAATCAACTAAAATGGGTCAGTTAATTTGAAGTGTGACTATCCCCTTTAGGCATTTGCGTTGCCTCTAGGCTCTTTTGCCCACAGCACCGTGGGGCATTTGGAATCAAACGTCTGTCTCGGGGAGGGAAGAGTACAGTAGAGTTTTAAATTTTTATCGCCTTACATTGAGAAACTCAGCCACCGGCAGCCACCGAGATTGTCGAAAAGTGAGTTGGCAATGGTTGGTTACTAGGGTGGCCTGAGCGACTGGGCTAGTGAATTCTGGAAAACAGTTTCATTTCTTGAATGAAATTAAAGCACAATGGAAAACTGAATCAGATTACATGTACTGTCCTTTTGTTTGAAAATTACTTCACCACGCCTTTCATGACTGCCTGCCACAGAAAATTGATTTATTTGTTCAGTCAATAAAAGTTTTATACTAATGTAAGTTTACCACTTGCGCCAAAATGAATGGTTGTTTTGGTAACAGTGCTTATATAAGTGAAGATAATATTAATTTAAAGCTTTTTACCGATATATCCAGATCAAACCATTATGGCACAGAGTGGAAACGGAGCAGCATGTGAGAGTGATGTTATGTCACTTGGTACCGGACAAGAGCTGAATTTTGATGATCACAAACTGAAAGGTAAAGATTCTTACAACTGTTCATAGTGTATCACAAAAAGGCCTTTAATATAGAAATATCAGGAGAAATGAAATAAAAGATACAGAAAGGAAAAAAACCGTCATTTGAAACATTCAACATACGGAAGTGGTTAAAGAGTCAAAGTCGTTAAACTTTATCTCTACTGAAGGTGGTTTTTTAACTTTTTATCTAGATTAGGCTTTTCCTAGAATCAATTGTGGTCGAGTTTACCACTTGTGGCAAAATGAATGGCTGTTTTGGTACTAGTGCTTTATATACAAGTGAAGATAATGTCAATTTACAGCTTTATACTCATTTTTCCAGATCAAACCATTATGGCACAGAGTGGAAACGCAGCAGCAAGTGAGGGTGATGTTACATCACTTGGTACCGGACAAGAGCTGAACTTTGATGATGACACATTGAAAGGTAAAGATTCTGACAACTGTTAATAGTGTATTACCAAAAGGCCTTTAACATAGAAATTTAAGGAGAAATGAAATAAAAGATACAGAAAGGAAAAAAAACCGTCATTTGATAACATTCAACATACATAAAGACTGAAAGTGGTTAAACATTATCTCCACTGAAGGTGTTTTTTATTTTTTATCTACAGATTAAACTTTTTCTAAAATCTGTGGTCGATGAATTCGTTTTCCTTACGGATTCACCATTACATATAGCCCTGCATCTGTTTCTGGGAGGGGAGAGTATAGTCGAGTGTTACATTTTATTGCCTTACATTGAGAAATTTTGCGGTATTATTGTGTTTGGCAAATTTTCATGCGGTACTTATGTAATTGTGGTCTTTAATTCTAATATTGATCATCGCCGTCACTTGGAATCCGGAGTACCTCCACTGGAGTTTCGTTCCACCCCAAATTTCTTAATCGAAAGTTTTGCTTATGACGTACTTCATAACAGCAAAACAGATTCGTGTTTTCCCCATTTAGCAAAAAAAAAAAAAACAGAGAGAGAGAGAGAACGAGCCCATGCGGATTTATTTAAGACGGTCATTCCATCTAAGACAGACTTTCCATCCTTGACTTGTGGTCCTTTAGCACAAATTTTAAAACTCGTCCTTAATTAGCCGGGTCCACTAAAGACAAGCTTCTTAATTCAAATGGTTTTCCTTCTCGAAAACTGAATCAGTTCAGCAAATAGACCTTCGCTTAATCCTCGCAATTCAATTTTCTTGCCATTCAAAACATTCAATTAATTTTTTCGATTTTTTTTATCACGGTAGTTCTTATTTTATTTATCAGAAGTGCGAACAAAGCTTTTACCACAGCAAGTTTCAGGGGGTATTCCCGGTTTAAAGTGACGTGGATGTTCGAATGGGAGCAAAAATCAAAAGCCCAAAAAATCCCTGGACCAAAAATTACCCCCCCCCCAAAAAAAAAAATCCCATACACAACTACGCGGCCGGAATAAGCAGGCAAACCACGAATAACAATTTTCAGTTAAATCAAGCCATCCGACAAAATTTTTGCCAAATTTTCCTTAGCTACCCCAAGAAAATCCCGAAATCGAAAATTTCACACCCAAGAAATCCTTCGATCAAACCCGTCACTTGAAATCCAGAGTACTACTCGGGTTTCGATCCACCCCAATTTCGAAAATCGAGAGTTTTGCTTATGACGTACTTGATAACAGCAAAACAGATTGTCGAATACGAAGATTAATTGGAGAGACCTACAAGAAAAACAGAAACAACCACGAATGGGAAAAGAACCAAGTATCCTGTATTTTTTGGAAACCGAAATACACTCAACTCGAAAACGAAGAACCCTCAACTCCGGTGAAAGGGCCTGCAATCAACTAAAATGGGTCAGTAAATTTGAAGTGTGACCATCCCTTTTAGGCATTTGCGTTGCCTCTAGGTTCTTTTGCCCACTGCACCGTGAGGCATTTGGAATCAAACGTCTGTCTCGGGGAGGGGAGACTATAGTAGAGTGTTACATTTTATCACCTTACATTGAGAAAGTTTGAGGCATTATTGTGTTTGCCAAATTTTCATGCGGTACTTCTGTAATTGTGGTCTTGAATTCTGATATTTTGGTATATCTAAACATGCGGAATTTTTTGTTATTGGCTAGGCGATTTTTAGCGTGGTTGTGTCCAATTCTTCGATTTTTCATAGCAGTGTTACGGTGTTCGGTATACCCCTAGCCGCTCTTCAACTTTTTTTGCGCATGCGTATACTTCTGCTACAAGACCGGCTTTCATAGTGTGATACCGTGACCAGTTGCGGTTTTAGAAAAGTGTACACTTTTAGTGCCAAACAATATTCCCATGATAATGTGTTATGCGGTTAAACCCATCAACAGAAATAATTAGCAAGGCATTTATAATAAAGGATACTGAAATCCTATAGCTCAGCCACAGCACCTTCACATTGTACCGTTTATTATTATAATTATTATAACTATCATATTATTATTATTATTATTACTATTTGAAAAGTTATTTAAGTGTTAATCCAATCTTAAGTTTTTAATTTGTAATTTTCAAAGTAAGAAAAGTGCAAACCGAATTTAAATACTTAACAGTGTTTTTATCACGAATTTTCATCAACAAAGTATTGCCAATAACGAAACCTGTTCCAAATTATGACGATTATTCCATTAAGTTCTTTAAAGCTAAAAGTAAACTTTACCGAATTTCACTTGCGCCAAAAAAAAGAAACAATATGTTTGTAAGGATTATTGCTGCAATTGACTCCTGGTACTGTAACCCCCTGCTGCTACTAAGTCGTTTAACTGGGGTAACAAAAAATAACTGCAAAAATCGTCGCTCTGAATCTGAAACTGAATCAGCTACCGACATTGTCGAAAAGTGAGTTCGCAATAGTTGGTTACTAGGGTGGCCTGAGCGACTGGGCTACTGAATTCTGGAAAGCAGTTTCATGCCTTGATTGAAAGCTCAACAAAAGACTGAATCAGATTACGTGTCCTGTTGTTTGAAAATTGCTTCACGCATTTCTTAACTGCCTGCCACATAATTTTGATTGATTTGTTCACTCAATAAAAGTTTTATACTAATGTGAGTTTACCACTTGTGGCAAAATGACTGGTTGTTTTGGTAACAGTGCATATGCAAGTGAAGTTAATATTAATTTAAAGCTTTTCACTGATTTTTCCAGATCAAACCATAATGGCACAGAGTGGAAACGGAGCAGCAAGTCAGAGTGATGTTACATCACATGGTACCGAAAGAGAGCTGAACTTTGACGATGACACACTGAAAGGTAAAGATTCTTACAACTGTTAATGGTGTATCACCAGAAGGCCTTAAAGATTACAAACTAAGGACAGATGAAATAAAATATACAAAAAAGACAAAAAACCGTCATTTGAAATTATTCAACAAACGGAAATGGTTAAAGAGGCAAAGTCGTTAAACAGTATGTCTACTGAACGTGGTTTTTTCATTTTTTTTATCTAGATTAGGCTTTTCGTAGAATTTGTGGTCGAGTTTAACACTTGTGGCATAATGAATGGATGTTTTGGTACTAGTGCTTTATATACAAGTGAAGATAATGTCAATTTACAGCTTTATACTCATTTTTCCAGATCAAACCATTATGGCACAGAGTGGAAACGCAGCAGCAAGTGAGGGTGATGTTACATCACTTGGTACCGGACAAGAGCTGAACTTTGATGATGACACATTGAAAGGTAAAGATTCTGACAACTGTTAATAGTGTATTACCAAAAGGCCTTTAACATAGAAATTTAAGGAGAAATGAAATAAAAGATACAGAAAGGAAAAAACCGTCATTTGATAACATTCAACATACATAAAGACTGAAAGTGGTTAAACATTATCTCCACTGAAGGTGTTTTTTATTTTTTATCTACAGATTAAACTTTTTCTAAAATCTGTGGTCGATGAATTCGTTTTCCTTACGGATTCACCATTACATATAGCCCTGCATCTGTTTCTGGGAGGGGAGAGTATAGTCGAGTGTTACATTTTATTGCCTTACATTGAGAAATTTTGCGGTATTATTGTGTTTGGCAAATTTTCATGCGGTACTTATGTAATTGTGGTCTTTAATTCTAATATTGATCATCGCCGTCACTTGGAATCCGGAGTACCTCCACTGGAGTTTCGTTCCACCCCAAATTTCTTAATCGAAAGTTTTGCTTATGACGTACTTCATAACAGCAAAACAGATTCGTGTTTTCCCCATTTAGCAAAAAAAAAAAACAGAGAGAGAGAGATAACGAGCCCATGCGGATTTATTTAAGACGGTCATTCCATCTAAGACAGACTTTCCATCCTTGACTTGTGGTCCTTTAGCACAAATTTTAAAACTCGTCCTTAATTAGCCGGGTCCACTAAAGACAAGCTTCTTAATTCAAATGGTTTTCCTTCTCGAAAACTGAATCAGTTCAGCAAATAGACCTTCGCTTAATCCTCGCAATTCAATTTTCTTGCTATTCAAAACATTCAATTAATTTTTTCGATTTTTTTTATCACGGTAGTTCTTATTTTATTTATCAGGAGTGCGAACAAAGCTTTTACCACAGCAAGTTTCAGGGGGTATTCCCGGTTTAAAGTGACGTGGATGTTCGAATGGGAGCAAAAATCAAAAGCCCAAAAAATCCCTGGACCAAAAATTACCCCCCCCCCCCCCAAAAAAAATCCCATACACAACTACGCGGCCGGAATAAGCAGGCAAACCACGAATAACAATTTTCAGTTCAGTCAAGCCATCCGACAAAATTTTTGCCAAATTTTCCTTAGCTACCCCAAGAAAATCCTGAAATCGAAAATTTCAAACCCAAGAAATCCTTCGATCAAACCAGTCACTTGAAATCCAGAGTACTACTCGGGTTTCGATCCACCCCAATTTCGAAAATCGAGAGTTTTGCTTATGACGTACTTGATAACAGCAAAACAGATTGTCGAATACGAAGCTTAATTGGAGAGACCTACAAGTAAAACAGAAACAACCACGAATGGGAAAAGAACCAAGTATCTTCTATTTTTTGGAAACCGAAATACACTCAACTCGAAAACGAAGAACCCTCAACTCCGGTGAAAGGGCCTGCAATCAACTAAAATGGGTCAGTAAATTTGAAGTGTGACCATCCCCTTTAGGCATTTGCGTTGCCTCTAGGCTCTTTTGCCCACTGCACCGTGAGGCATTTGGAATCAAACGTCTGTCTCGGGGAGGGGAGACTATAGTAGAGTGTTACATTTTATCACCTTACATTGAGAAAGTTTGCGGCATTATTGTGTTTGCCAAATTTTCATGCGGTACTTCTGTAATTGTGGTCTTGAATTCTGATATTTTGGTATATCTAAACATGCGGAATTTTTTGTTATTGGCTAGGCGATTTTTAGCGTGGTTGTGTCCAATTCTTCGATTTTTCATAGCAGTGTTACGGTGTTCGGTATACCCCTAGCCGCTCTTCAACTTTTTTTGCGCATGCGTATACTTCTGCTACAAGACCGGCTTTCATAGTGTGATACCGTGACCAGTTGCGGTTTTAGAAAAGTGTACACTTTTAGTGCCAAACAATATTCCCATGATAATGTGTTATGCGGTTAAACCCATCAACAGAAATAATTAGCAAGGCATTTATAATAAAGGATACTGAAATCCTATAGCTCAGCCACAGCACCTTCACATTGTACCGTTTATTATTATAATTATTATAACTATCATATTATTATTATTATTATTACTATTTGAAAAGTTACTTAAGTGTTAATCCAATCTTAAGTTTCTGTAATTTTCAAAGTAAGAAAAGTGCAAACCGAATTTAAATACTTAACAGTGTTTTTATCACGAATTTTCATCAACAAAGTATTGCCAATAACGAAACCTGTTCCAAATTATGACGATTATTCCATTAAGTTCTTTAAAGCTAAAAGTAAACTTTACCGAATTTCACTTGCGCCAAAAAGAAACAATATGTTTGTAAGGATTATTGCTGCAATTGACTCCTGGTACTGTAACCCCCTGCTGCTACTAAGTCGTTTATCTGGGGTAACAAAAAATAACTGCAAAAATCGTCGCTCTGAATCTGGAACTGAATCAGCTACCGACATTGTCGAAAAGTGAGTTCGCAATAGTTGGTTACTAGGGTGGCCTGAGCGACTGGGCTACTGAATTCTGGAAAGCAGTTTCATGCCTTGATTGAAAGCTCAACAAAAGACTGAATCAGATTACGTGTCCTGTTGTTTGAAAATTACTTCACGCATTTCTTAACTGCCTGCCACATATTTGGAATGATTTGTTCAGTCAATAAAAGTTTTATACTAATCTGAGTTTACCACTTGGCAAAATGAATGGTTGTTTTGGTAACAGTGCAAATACAAGTGTAGTTAATATTAATTTAAAGCTTTTTACTGATTTTTCCAGATCAAACCATTATGGCACAGGGTGGAAACGGAGCAGCATGTGAGAGTGATGTTACATCACTTGGTACCGGACAAGAGCTGAACTTTGATGATGACACACTGAAAGGTAAAGATTCTTACAACTGTTAATAGTGTATCACCAAAAGGCCTCTAATATAGCAAACTAAGGACAAATAAAATAAAATTTAAAAAAAGACAAAAAACCGTCATTTGAAAACATTCAACATACGGAAGTGGTTAAAGAGTCAAAGTCGAGAGTATCTCTACTAAAAGTGGGTTTTTCATTTTCTTTTTTTTTATCTAGATTAGGCTTTTCGCAGAATTTCTTTTCGAGTTTATCACTTATGGCATAATGAATGGTTGTTTTGGTACTAGTGCTTTATATACAAGTAAAGATAGTGTCAATTTACAGCTTTATACTGATTTTTCCAGATCAAACTATTATGGCACAGAGTGGAAACGGAGCAGCAAGTGAGAGTGATGTTACATCACTTGGTACCGGACAAGAGCTGAACTTTGACGATGACACACTAAAAGGTAAAGATTCTTACAACTGTTAATACTGTATCACCAGAAGGCCTTAAAGATTACAAACTAAGGACAGATGAAATAAAATATACAAAAAAGACAAAAAACCGTCATTTGAAATTATTCAACAAACGGAAATGGTTAAAGAGGCAAAGTCGTTAAACAGTATGTCTACTGAACGTGGTTTTTTCATTTTTTTTATCTAGATTAGGCTTTTCGTAGAATTTGTGGTCGAGTTTAACACTTGTGGCATAATGAATGGATGTTTTGGTACTGGTGCTTTATATACAAGTGAAGATAATGTCAATTTATAGCTTTATACTGATTTTCCAGATCAAACCATTATGGCACAGAGTGGAAACGGAGCAGCATGTGAGAGTGATGTTACATCAGTTGGTACCGGACAAGAGCTGAACTTCGACGATGACACACTAAAAGGTAGATATTCTTACAACTATTAATAGCGTATCACTAAAAGGCCTTTAACATGAGAAATTTATGGAGAAATGAAATAAAAGATACAGAAAGGAGAAAACCGTCATTTGATAACATTCAACATTTGATACATGAAGACTAAAAGTAGTTAAACATTATTTCCACTGAAGGTTGGGTTTTTCATTTTCTTTTTTTTTTTTTAGATTAGGCTTTCCGTAGAATTTGTGGTCGAGTTTATCATTTGTGGCATAACGAATGGCTGTTTTGGTACTAGTGCTTTATATACAAGTAAACATAATGTCAATTTATAGCTTTATACTGATTTTCCAGATCAAACCATTATGGTACAGAATGGAAGCGGAGCAGCAAGTGAGGGTGATGTTACATCACATGGTACCGGACAAGAGCTGAACTTTGATGATGACACACTGAAAGGTAAAGATTCTTACAACTGTTAATAGTGTATCACCAAAAGGCCTTTAACATGAGAAATTTATGGAGAAATGAAATAAAAGATACAGAAAGGAAAAAACCGTCATTTGATAACATTCAACATTTGATACATGAAGACTAAAAGTAGTTAAACATTATTTCCACTGAAGGTTATTTTTATTTTTTATCTAATATTAGTTAATACTAGTTAATAGTAGTTAATATTAATTCAAAGCTTTTTGCTGATTTTTCCAGATCAAACCATTATGGCACAGGGTGGAAACGGAGCAGCATGTGAGAGTGATTTTACATCACTTGGTACCCGACAAGAGCTGAACTTTGATGATGACACACTGAAAGGTAAAGATTCTTACAACTGTTAATAGTGTATCACCAAAAGGCCTCTAATATAGCAAACTAAGGAGAAATGAAAAAAAAATTAAAAAAAGACAAAAAACCGTCATTTGAAAACATTCAACATAGGGAAGTGGTTAAAGAGTCAAAGTCAACAGTATCTCTACTAAAGGTGGGTTTTTCATTTTTTTTTTCTTTTTTTCTGGATTAGGCTTTTCGTAGAATTTCTTTTCGAGTTTATCACGTGTGGCATAATGAATGGTTATTTTGGTACTAGTGCTTTATATACAAGTAAAGATAGTGTCAATTTACAGCGTTATACTAATTTTTCCAGATCAAACCATTATGGCACAGAGTGGAAACGGAGCAGCAAGTGAGAGTGATGTTACATCACTTGGTACCGGCCAAGAGCTGAACTTTGATGATGACAAACTGAAAGGTAAAGATTCTTACAACTGTTAATAATGTTTCACCAAAAGGCCTTTAATATAGCAAACTAAGGACAAATAGAATAACGACAAAAAATCGTCATTTGATAACATTCAACGTTTGATACATGACGACTGAAAGTCG